GTAGACGGTTGAATTCATATAAATTAGTTTGAAATTTGAATCGTAGGAATTTTCCATGGCAGTTTGCAATAGATACTAAGAAATAGGCGCCGTTAAGATGTTTAAATTCTTAAGGTTTAGAATAAATCGTTTGCTTCCGTCTGGTTTCGGTCGAAGGAAACAATGTGATATGAATTGATCTTTACAAGGAGTGCGTCGTGAGATCGCGCCCTTATAGAGTAATTTATTAATTTCTTGTTGCATGCTATATTTTCATCTTCAGATAATATGGGGGTTTGCATTTGTATTGAACTAGTATGCTGTCTAGAGGTATACGGTAACCTCGAATCCATTCCAAAATTACCCGATTCGATGTAATTTTGTTCCATTTTGCATTGAAATATTTTAAACGACCAGTTGGTTTGCTTACATTTAACGGTGGGCACTCCTGTGGGTGTAATTGTACGTCATCGGTTACGTGAGCAGAATATCTATGGGGCTTTGACGCCATTTTGGAACGCCTTAAACGCATGAAAATATAGCATATGACTTTGTCTCGAATGTTACGTACAAATCATTTCAGGCACTTCCACCACGCGAACATAATATAATAGGGAAGACTGGGATAAATTGACCAACTTTTTACGTAATGCTAAATTGTGAGGAAGGTAAAGAGAATTTTCGAACTTCATCCATCGAAATGTAGGGCATACATTCAGGTACAATAATTGGAGTCCAAGATCCTTAAATCTTTTTCAAATAGTAAAAAAAAAGTTATTTATGCGTGCCGGCGCGGTTGATCAACTTGCCCCGTTCTGGGGGAGGAAGGGAGGGGGGGGGGATTTATGAAAATCTGAAGTGTATCCCATATTGAATTTACAATTTCTTTTATTTTTATGTGTAAAAATTAAAACCAAACTGTAATTCACGTCTTCATTGTAATAAACGTCTTCAAAGTTTTTTTAGTGCTCCTAATATAAATAAACATAGAATTCTCTTTTTACAGAGATGTAAGAACCATTGAAAATCTATTCCATTCACACAAGTTAAGGTGATATGAAAGGGTCAGGCTATACATATCTGAGAAGTCAAATCGTTGATGAATCTATTCTCCGAATTGGGTGTACTGATTCGTTTTAAATTTTACCACGTAAATATGGAGGACCTAAAGTAGGTCCTGAATAGGGATTGCAATATCGGACCGAAAGTTCAATACCGGTATTCGGTATTTTTTAGATCTTAATACCGGAATACCGGTTTTAATACCGGTAGTAGGAATTTTAAAAAGAGAAAGAAAACACAGGTGTTTCTTTGTTTTATTTGCCAGTTTTATTAGAGAGAGTAAATATCACAAAAAATCATTTGTAACTTTTAAATTATAACAGCATAACAAGAATCACAAAAAAAGTAAAAGAACAAGGAACATCTTATTTATTTAAATCACAAAAAAGTGTACATATCACTATTCAGTCCGTGATATTATTACAAATTTTTGAAATGTGATCTTAAAAAATATAATGCATCAATTGTACTGTCATTAAGCCTGGAACGTAATTTTGTGCAAAAATTCCCAGCTGTCGAAAACGCTCTTTCAGCATCTACGCTAGTTGGTGGAACTGTTAGCAATTGCGCGATATACTTTTTCCAAGTATATGCCTCTAAATCCCTCATCTTCAAATAAATCGTNCAATGATTTCCCGTAGCCCACCTGTCCTTACGAAGCATTAAAAGGACATGTAGGATTTTTCCTGAGGTACTGACCAGTAGCATCGAACTCTAAGAGGTAATCGGAGGACCTCCTTCGTCTCATATATTCTAAATAAGGGGTGCGGGGGACCAGGTCCATCCTCCGATGGACCTAATTCCCCGTAACGTGAGGGAGCATCGAGCCCACCACGTTACAATGTATATAACAAATCTGAAAAATATTTTGAACCGTAAAGTATGATATGCAAATACAATGTGAATAACAAACTCACCAATTTAAAAAAAAATATCGAAATTTTAACTAAATTATTACGCACTTTCTTCACAATTCCAACCTTGTTTTTCACAGATGCGAATATCCGACTACGAATCCTGCGCATGTGCAGTATCGCTCTGACCTGTAGTAGGACAGTTTTGGCTCGCCTCCTTGGGTGATTCACATATCACATGACTTCTCCAGATTGTACGATGCAACTTTGTATTCACAGTCTAATTCATTTCGCCCGTTAGAGAAACTTAAAATAAAAACGCATACTATTTGGCTATATTAGCGACCCCTGAACATATAGTGGAGACAATTTAAAAAATTTCTAGTAAATACCGAAAAACCGGTATTTAAACTTGTGAATACCGGTATTACAAAATTGTACAAATGGCTAAAAATCCCGGTATTCGGTATCCCAGTATACCGGTATTGCAATCCCTAGTCCTGAAACTCACGAAATTTCTTTTTAAATAAAAAATTTATTTACTTATCATGGCCTGAACCCAACATGGCGCGATCCGTGAACGTTTTCGATGTTTTACGCTTCTTGGAGGCTTAGAATTGAAAATGAAGAGTTTCAGGACCTAGCTCGAATAATTTAGAATACCATAGAAATGGAATATTGTGAATGATAAACACTTTTACCAACCATTGCAGGAGAATGCTCGCTTGTCTCTTGGTTAACACGTGTTTCTGGAGCAAAAATTTTGTTGCAGTTAAACGTCACAGATGGCGACGTTGGTTGTAAAACTGTCCAAATCCCGTGAATTCGTAACTGTTTATATTTTCACGGACCAACGTCGCGATCTGTGACGTTTAGCTGTAACTAAATTTTTACTCAAGAAACGTGTTAGCCACGAGACAAGCCTTCTCTTGCAATCGTTGGTGAAAGTATTTTCCATATTTTCCCATCTGACACTGTAATTTCTACGGTATTTTAAATTGTTTGAGCTGTCCTGAAACTCTTCATTTCCGATTCAAAGCCTTCAAGAATCGTAAAACATATAAACATGCATGAACCACTCAATGTTGGTTTTAGTCCATGATAAATAAATACATTTTTTCTGAAAAATGAAATTTCATGAATTTCAGGATCTACTTTAAGGCCTCAATATTCCCGTGGAAAAATTTGAAACGAATCGATACACCCAATTCGGAGAATACTTTGACCATCGATTTGATTTTTCTGATATATATTTCCATTTCATATTACCTTAAGTGTGTTAACCTTTTCTTAGAGATCCAATGGAATTTCGATAACAAACATATTGTCACAAAAACGAAGGTAAACTATAGTATACCGTATGTTGACAAGACGTATAATGAAAATCTGCTCGATACGCAATGGAATATCTTCGTGGAGGGCGTATGCTGTCGATTGGATAATTCGAGCATTGTCTACAGCTCGATTACCTATTGGGTTCATCAAGTTTCTAACACTGTATTTGTTAAAGTTGTGCAACTGCAAGCACTGCACGGAACAGTTTCCCTGAAATTCTTGGACGAGTATCGTCGGATTCCGAACTCGCTTCAGGTTATGAAATTCCTTAGCACCTTGGAATCAATATAGAATAATGCTGTCTTACGTATACAGTCAAACCTGTTTTTGTGCGGTAGATAGGGACCGCAGAAAAAAAAAACTGCACTAAAAAAAAATATTCAGAAACTTCATAAATACCTATAACAAATAATTTTTTAGAGCATATTAAAGAAAATGTTCTTTATGCGGTGGAGAGGGACCGCATAAAAAAAGTCTCAGTTAGAAAATATGTCAAAGCTTTACGAAATAGCGAGAAAGTGCTTTCCAAACAAAATAAATAATTAAATTACACGTGGAAATATTTTACAAAATTTTTATTTCTCATTTTAAACATGGAGAAATTTTCAAAATGTACGTAATTCAATACTACTCGTCGTAGTCCAAAACGCGCATATTCTTGTGATAAACGGGTTCGTAATCACTTTCCTCACTTGAAGATATTAGAGTTAATTTATTTTTTGTTATCATGTAGTCGGTGATAAGTTTTTGCGACGACGGTCGTTTGATCAGCTGCTTGTAAACGTCGCGATAGCCAGATATACACGATCGAAGCTCTTTTTGGAATTTCAAACTTCTTTCGGAATTGCTATCTATTTTAAGAAAATGTTTTTCCATTTTGCTGTTAAGTTATTGAGAATATCACTATCAGTTACGGTTTCGTCCTTAATCATTTCGATAAGATCATTTTCGCTAAAAGTGTCTAAACCTTCTCCGCAGATGTTATGTGCTAGCGCAATAATTTCTGATGATAATGTGGACGTGTTTTCGGTTACATTTCTATTAATGACACAACAGAATCCCGATATTAATATACCGCATAAAAAAAAATCGCATAAAAATAGACCGCACAAAAACAGGTTTGACTGTACTGACAAAATGTCGTAACAATTCCATAACATCACTTTTTCGACAGAAATGATAAAGCAGGAATTTGTGCGAAGTTGTGTAAAACCTACCGCTTAGATAATGTAAAACATCGATTATTTTTTCTTTATTCTTCAACCGATTTATCATATTTCCCTACGTTGCGTTTAGGCTTATAAAAAGACGTATTCATATTTGCCAGGTTAGTTTTGTTCCTTTTTGCTTTTGTCCCTATATCGAAAATTTTAAAAAGTAAATAAAATAACCTCTCTCTAGCCGAACGTCAACTCTAGTTAAAGAAATTAAGGGATATTTATTAATACCAGATAATCAATTGCTGCGATGTTATGTATGTAGTAGGAAGGAATATAAAACAATATTCTTTAAGAAAATTATTGGAAAACATTTCATAAAGAAAAACGTAATCTGATTACAAATTCTCTAGATCGATACTATGCATTTTAATGACCTGTTAAGAATCAATGATAGGTATATGCACAATAAACACGTAGTTTCTCGATTAAAACTGTCCTCATTTGCAATCCGCACAGAGTTCGGCAGTAATCTCCGATGATGCAAAATGAATACGCTGCACCGTCGATGGAGCAACTCGTGCTAATCAAGGTTTTTGGTCTCTGATTATAGACACGGTGCAGTAGACGAGGAGTCACCCGGGTCGTCTTCGAAGAGGTTAAGCCCGTCCTCGGACTGCGAGGACTCGGTGTTGGAGATTTCCCTGAGAACCCACCAGGATACTGTGTTTATCGCGAAGCTACCAACCGATCAGAGCTCGGGAAAGCCTGACCCCGAGGAGGCTCCTCAGGGCTCGGACGAGCGGTCTCGATCCACGATATCCGAGAGAACTCGATCCGAGAAAAGGCGGTTATTAGAGTCGACCGACACGGTAATCGAGAATACCGAAGCAGCTCTTCGGGGTGTCGGCGCCGCGAAGCTCTCCTCAGGCGCTAGCGATCTCTCGGGGGTCCACTGTAAGAAATCGAGGTAAAATAACACAACAAACAACGGTAGAAAAGAGAGATTAAACGAGAAATTGTAAACACCTAGGAGCCGGAGTCCTGATACTGCACGATGTGATGTGTGACGCGAAACACGACACGTAGTTGCGCGGTGACCTCACGAGACACGCACATTCGTAGTGTTGTATGCATACTGTTTTAAGCTTCTATTTTTCTTTTGGAGCGAAGCTCCAGAGTTCGTAACGAGGTATCACTGGGTGTATGCCGTGTAAGCCCACGGTTTATTAATAAGAGGGAAAGAAGTCGTTTGTTCTTTCTTTGCCGGAACGTGCATGAAGAAGCATCGGGGGTGAGCTGTGCCGATCCGTTTGCTTGGGCGACCTTTAGGCGTTTGGCAGTGGCTTCCGCTTCCCGCGGGTTTGGTTCCTGGTGCAATTTTACGTGTGAATCTTTTACAGCGTAACTCCGTCCGACCCGACAGGGGATAGCTCTTGCGAGGGGAGCTGGAAGCCGCCGCGGAGCTTCCAGGCTGATACGAGGACCCTAACGACATACCTCGAGGAGCTGGAATCGTCCTTCGAGAAGTCGAGGGATCCCTTGAGGCCGGGCGATTCCGCCGGTAGTTGCTCCCCGAATCTCCCCGCGGATTCTCCGGAAGAAATACCAGAGGTGCGGAAAGACAGTTCCCTTTACCTTGAGGAGACGGAGGGCTTGCGAGGTCCCCGGGAGGACTCGAGGCCTCCTAGGCTGGCCTGTAGGATCCTGGCGCCTAGGAGGCAGAGCAGCGGATACGCCAGCAATCTCGGGACCTTCGACGAGGACCCGAGGAGTGCGGAGGTCGAGGTTGGCCCGCTGAGGGGGAGGCGGCGGTCGTCCGCCAAGAGGCTGGACCCTTCGCCCAGGAGGGCAGGTCGCTGCGAGGAGGTCGTCACCTTCCATGAGGAGTCCGCCTCCTCGGAGAGGATGCCGGCTACGGAGGTCCCCGGGAAGGTTTCGACCGCAGGACTGGACATGCCCGATATCCAGGAAGTTCGGGATGCGGAGTTACCGGAAGCCATCGCCCAGAGGCTCTGTACCGCGGGCGGAAACGCGAACGATAAGCCACTTTCTGGGATGGAGGACTTATCTGGGAGATCTTCGAGGCCAGGCGTCTCCGCTCCTGAAATAACCGCGATTACGGATCTTGATACCCTGAGAGGTCGAACTGAGAATCCTGGCAAGGAATTCACCGTTTCTCAGAGGATATCCCATCCGGAGGCTTTCGAAGGGATGTCCAAGGTACTAGAAACGTTTAAGACGAAGGAGGTTGTAAATCCGAACGTGCATAAGAATTTCCCCCAAGAACCCGCGTGCGACGACCTTGACAGGATGTTCTCCAGGATGGAAATTCTACCTGGGGACAAATTCTCCAGGTCGATTACGTCAGTTCCTGTGAACTCTCTCTTAATCAGAGAAAAGAAAATCTCCACTTCCAGAGAAAATTTCTCCGGAAAAGAGACTGTATGTGATTCACCGTCTTATACCGACGTCCTATTGAAGTCTAGGACGAAGGCCTCCCAATCTGGCGGTAATATGTCACATTTAGACGCGAGATTCGCAGACACGGAGACGACGAGTTCTCCTGAAAGTTTCCGGAACGTGGACAGGTCTCTTCGACTCAGAAAAGGGATGGTCCATCAATTCAGTACCCCAAATTTCTCAAGATCCGGGCTAGGTAACACATCTAGAGGAATCGATGAAGAGTCACCGGGGGATAATCAGAAGTATAAATCCGAAGACGATCAAAGATTCTACTCGGCTGGTGTCGATGATGCGGACGTGTCAGATGTTATAGAAAAAATGATAAAGCCCCAACAAAAAAGCCCCAATGTTACGCTGCCGCTTCCACGATCTGTGAAGGTTTATCAGCTGTTGTCGACCCAGTCGGAGGACAGAGGAGATGGGGTTCCAAGGCTGAACGATAGGAGGATATCATTGCAGATTACACGACACGAGGACGACAGGTTATCTGGGATTCTTCCGTCGTCCGAGGAGAAGAAACTCCTTCACGCCGAGAGCGTTCCCATGATGCAGGTTTCAGGTGTCAGAGATGCCGATTCTCGACTTCTGGCTCCAGGTGTGTCCGGAACGTGCACAGGAGGAAAATCGCTGTTATCAAGTGAGCTCGCCTCTGGACACAGACTTCCGGTGGATCCTACCATCAGACCAATTTACCCTTACTGCCCTTACTCACCTTATGGCAGCCCTCAGGGCTCTCCGAGGACCCAGAGGAGGCCTCTGAGAGAGAGCAGAAGAGTTTCCTTGGACAATCGACAAGGCGCTCTTCAGCTCAACCAGTACAAACTGTTGGACAACATTGGTCAGGTAAGTGATGGCGAATCGCGTTCAATCTCCTGTAGAATAACGTTTCAATACATTGGTGGAGCTTTTAGATGTGTGGATTGAAATAATATGTAAAAAAACTGACGCTGGATTTGCAGCGTCTCGTAATGGCGTAGATAGTGGATTTCATAATAATGTGGGTAAAAAACGTGGTAAAGTTTGATATGAGTTGTAAAGGGGACTCTTGGTCCGTATCAAATGTGTATTATGCGTTAGGGCTTAGATAGGTCAACAGTAATCTCCGGATATGTATAACAAATACGTTAAATCTTCGTAATTTTTCAATACTATCATAATGTTATGACAAAAATTCATAACATTTGATAATGTACTTCGAAGATAGCGATTACGTTTTGATCCAATTTTACGTATATCCTTCTGGAGATAGTTTCCTATTTGTTACAAAGAAGGTGAAAGTGTATCTTTTCGAGGTTCAATTCTTGAACTTTAGGTCTATCAACTACTTGGACATTTTATATTTGGTGATGCTGAATTTGTCATGTTATTTATTATGTTTGAAAGTAAATGCTCGGGAGGTTGTAAAGATTATTTTAATTTATGTTATTTACGGGTCCCTGGATATGTACCGTTTTCTGCAATCTGAAAGTTAAGGTTAGGGCACGAGGTATCTCGCGTAGAAAAATGTACGGCCAGGGATCGGTTACCACGGAGGACGGCACGCAAAGTTAAGAAACCGCGGATTTAGATTTAAATAGATTGGTCGTCGAGACTTATCGTAACCCTGCAATCTATTATATCTTTACGGGCTACAGTTCGTTCTTTTTTGGTATACTTTTTTTGATTGCTGTACCTTACCTGATGCCTAAACTTGATTTAAATACAGGTTTAATTCTTTTTAATACTAATTTACATTTTTAATTCCAACGATAACATGTATAAATTCGTAAATTTCATTGCTTTATCTCGAAGAAACTTATCTGACGTTATCGCTGGATAGAATATATTCATGTATGGCTTTCGAACCTGGTATGTAAATTTTGCAACAGCCATAATGAATACGTATTGTCTTTTGATCTCTTTGTTCGCCTCGGTATTATGTTTCTAATTTGTAGTCAATTTTAATGATACCTCCACGGTGTTCGGTCACTTTCGCGGGTGTTATTATCAACGGAAATTGGTATGTTAACGGTAACTGGTTGGATACCAATTCGATATTAGTTAGTCAATCGATGCGTCAACGTGGTAATACGCAATCTTCTTGAACTGCATTTTCAGAATGTATGAGGAATTTAATTCAAATTTTTAAAGAAATTTCCATGAGAAAAGAGAGAGGAAACATGTTCTTTTTAGAGTTAACAACTTTTCATTTTATTTTCAAACTAGGCGAAGGAAGGAAGAATATAACCTTCAAAATTAGAGGAAGCCCTCGTATTATCTAACTGGCCGTAAAAAACCACGTATTGTTTTAATCACTATCGCGTTGGAGAGGAGATATTTTTATTCCTGACGGAATGAGTGGATTATAACGTGTCTTTATGAGTCTTATAAAATACTTTTATCGGCTAAGAAATGGCCCATTCCAAGGTTAATTCGGGGATAGTAACGCCGACACTATTTAGTAAGAATGAGAGCATATAATTCCAATTTTATAAAGACCCATTCCCGCACTCTTTGTTGCTCTATTAAACTTATTAGAACGTCTGACCATAAACAGTACGCCTCTTAAATTACCAACTCAATATTGCCGTGTAATAATATACAATAGGTACTTACTTTAAATTCATTTATGTGGGAGTTCTTGAAATATCCGAACACAAAATATTTTGGAAAAGACAATCCAAATTTTACCTTATTACACTTTAAGAATTCATGGAATTTAATTAAGAACTTATTTGTTAACAAGAAACCTTATAATACAATAATTAATAATTTACAATGAAACAGAAATATTTATCGTCTTCACAGACTGTTAGCATTTATTTTAAATATTCCTGCATATTGTAGTAGATGTAGGTTCCGATTCATAACGTGTTTTTAGGGTAAATCAACTAGAATGTAACTGATAACATAATTTTATTAACACTAAAACAATCCGCGAATTTTAGTTGCCTTTGATGGACCTGAAATCCGTAATGCTTATGTTGTAGTGTTTTAGTGCTAATCCGGTTGCTTTAGTGTTAACCCGAAATTGTTTCTCACGCGAGTCAAACTAAAAAAGTATGACTTCGGTGACATCTTTGAAGGATGTGTTGGTGTTCCGGTAAGAACAGTCGAATTGATCTATCGGGCTATCTTCAAGGATGCTGTAGTAAACATACATCAGAGCTGTTGAAACTTGAAACATGCTTGCCATGTTGTATGATCTAACATCGAAACATATTTAATAAAAAATGTTATTATTGAATGTTAAAAGTCAACAAAAATGAGTATATTTCGGCGGTCTTCCTTTTTTATTTAAAAACTCGAGTTACCTTTAACTTAGCAAAAATTGAGTTCTATGTTGAACATCCTCTGTGCCGAAAAGTGCACAAAATATGTATCGGTTACCTACATTTCTCATATACATATACGAAATCGGTCCACCGTCAAAGTCCCGCAACGCAGATTCGTCCGCCGTGAAACTGCAAATTTAGAGACGTTTTAATAAAATTACAGGTGCACATGTGGAAACCGTATATGTACAACGCTGTCTCAATATTCTGCCAACATAGAGCGGTTATATACATGTAGTGTGTGGAAGATATGAATGTCTTATGATATTTACTTATGAATAATATAAGTTTGGGAGAGCGTCACAGTTTCTTTAACAATCCTATTATTTTATGTAATTTAGAAGTACCTCTTATGATTCAAATAAAATGTATTATGAAGATATTTAAAATTATGTAAAATTTATTATGTAGATTTCATGGAAGTATTAATTTCTGGTTTATGTATTATTTTTTTTTTTCAAATCTAGTACATATTGAAACTACATCATATCCTTGGAAAAATTTAATCGTAATGATCATGGGGGTCGAATAATTACTCCATTTTAATTTATTTAGAATAATATATCTCTTATTGTTAGATAAGTTTCTTATTTCTTATTTAAAACGTATATCTGCCATAGGTTTGAAAGAAAGAAATGTTTTCTCCGTTGATAGTATTGACAAAATTAACAAAAAAATTGGGACGTTCATTCGAACCTTAGAATAGCTCAGATCAAATTTTTTCACGGTCAAGGGTGGTTTTAATGTTTATCGGACATGATCAAAATTGATACATTTACATCAGCAATTGATGCTGCCATAAAAACTTCTGTATACCGAATTGAATTCAAATTGAATAAAGTGTTTTTAAGGGGCGTCCGTAGGGTCGAGGGTTGCCAAAATCAATATTTTTCGCTCGATCAAGAAGAGCTTTATAAAGAAGAAGAAGGGTTTGCTTGTACGACCTGGGAATTGCTGTCCGTAATTACATTTTATATATAAAAACGAAATATATAGAACTTAAAACAAATGTTCCTCGAAACAGCATTATTTAAAATGGTAATCGTAATATCTCAAAACTCACGATCGAAACTATTTGAAATTTTACAAGTATATTTAATGAATGTTTAACTTTTGCTGAAATATGAACCTTTCTTCTGCACAACATTAAAACTTCTTTTCAAAATGTTATCGTTTCAATATTTATCGATATCTTTAGATAATCTTAGTTTCAACGATAGCTGTTCTCATGTAAACAAAATAGATGTTATTGTTTCTCTCCCACTTCTACAATAGCCAATTTTACATTTACCATTGAAAATTACTTTTTTTTGCGATACTTCAGTAAATTACGTACAACTCTGAAGTAATTCAATATTTTTATTTAAAAAGAAAAACTATATGATCTTAAGTATCCAGAAAGTTTCAAGTTAATAAGAAGCAGAGTTCCTTTTCTTTAAATATCGACAATCATCTTATTTTTTGCTCGTCACTAATAGGGAGGCCCATACAGAAAACAGAAATTTTATAGAAAAACTGACTCCCACTTATGGTCAAAGCATTTTAGTGTACAAGTAAGTTTGGTACAATTGACTAATTATTGCGACCCCAGGAGTATGGTCGCTCCATTTCCACGAAATATTTGGAAATTCAGTATATCTGTATATTGACTCGGAACTAACGAGCCCAGGTCCCTTTTAACGAGACGACGTGACTATCGCGTGTCCGTAGCAACGCTCGCAGAATAAGGTCGCTGAATTACTCTAGTTCGTTTCGGCTCCTCGGCATGTAATGTATTGTAAATTACGTGGAATCACGGGAAAGGTGGATAACGATCACCCTGACCTTAGTTCCGCCCTCGTGGATCACGCAGGACCTTGCGGAGACCTCGCGGGGACCCAAAGGTTGTATAAAGATAGACAATAGAGCACGAGGGTTCAAGTCTCCTTCCCAAAACTCTTCCTTCTTAAGGTGATGTGAAAGTGGCATCAAAGAGGTCTCCTCCCTCTCTCTCTCTCTCCCGGTCCCTCTCCCTCTCCCTTTCTCCCTTCCTCTCTCCGTCCCTCTTTCTCGCCCTCTCCCTCTCCCTCCCTCCCCCTCTCCCTCTCCCCTCTTTCCCTCACCCCTCTCTCACTCCCACCCTCTTTCTCGCCCTCTCTCTCCCCCTCTCTTGCTCCATCTCTCCCCTCCCCCTCTCCCCTCTCTGCCCCTTCTCTCTCTCTCTCCCTCTCGGGGTTGCGTTCGTGTGCGTCGTGCTGTAAATTTGACACACGCACCCGTGCGCGCGCGCGAGCACGCACTGGATGTCGATTTACCCCGACTATTCGGTCAATTGCCCCAAGAACGGGGCAAGTTGATGAACCGCACCGGCATACATAAATAACTTTTTCTTTACTATTTCATAAAGATTTAAGGATCTTGAACTCCAATTATTGTACCTGAATGTATGCCCCACATTTCGATAGATGAAGTTCGAAAATTCTCTTTATCTTCTTCACAATTTAGCATTACGGAAAAAGTTGATCAATTTATCCCGATCTCCCCTATTATATTATGTTTGCGTGGTGGAGTTGCTTGAGATCATTTGTTCGTAACATTCGAGACAAAGTCGTGGGCTGTATTTTCATACGTTTAAGGCGTACCAAATGGCTTCGAGGGCCCATACATATTCTGTTCACGTAACCGATGACGTGCAATTACACCCACAGAGGTGAGTATTAATGGTTAATAACCGTAGGCGTTTATTGCCTCTTGTTTTCAGGGGTCTTTCGGGATCGTTAAGCTCTGCTACAACGAGGAGGACGAGGCCCACTATGCCATGAAGATCCTAAGCAAGAAGAAGCTGATGAAAAAGGCCGGTATTTTCGGCAGAATGGCGCCCGGAAGAAAGGGTGCCTCTAGCCCGTTAGAAAAGGTCTACAGGGAGATAGCCCTATTAAAAAAGCTCGACCATCCGAACGTCGTCAAGCTCGTCGAGGTCTTGGATGACCCCGACGAAGATAATCTCTACCTTGTGTTTGAGTTGGTACAAAGAGGCGAGGTTCTTCAGGTGCCCACTGACCAACCCTTGGACGAGAAAACTGCCAGGAAGAACTTTCGCGATGTAGTAATGGGAATTGAATATCGTAAGTTTATTATACCTTATCGACATTTAATTATCACAGACGTTTGCTACGCCGAAATGGCTGTATCGGTTATATCGAGAGGGAATAATCATGTTAATTGGAATACCTGTACCGTAATAAGGAACTTGAGAGGCATTTGAGAAAATAGAGCAGTCGGGTAAGTGGCAATGTTTTTTGCAGTTTCACTTTTTGAGCATCTGCGATATTTGAATTTTGTGCCGTACAATGTGAATTACAGCAATTTTATCTGTGAGTTTCTGAGAGCGCATCGAAGCCTTTTCCTTCTTATAACATCGCGTTCATAGATATTAATACCTCATTAATAATTAGTTTTTATACTTTTGTTTAAATTCTCAATGCATTACCAACCAATATATCGTGCATAATGACGAAAGAATTATACACCGTGAGATCAATCCCATAATTCGATTAATGAATCTATTATATAAAGATATATTGAACGTTCTATCTTCGCACTAAAAGGGTGATGGACGAGCAATGAGATAATGTTCCTGGCGGATAAATTCAAGTCCGCGATTTGTATTACACCTTGGTTTTAAAACAATTTATTACAATAACTAAAACAAGAATTGAAAATTAAAGTGTCGATGTTTGCTCTGCGGTACGTTCATTCGATAGCCGCAAGTAATTAATTTCGTCTGCAAAGTAAATTTCTCTTACCATCTGCAGGACACTTATTTTAGAAAGCGTACTTGCCCTGGCCATAACCAAATGCTCCGTCCCTCGATCATGTCTCAGGGTTGTACGAATTCGATTAAACGATTCAACATGTATCACTGAAAAAAACGAAATTGTCAAATATAACCAATATTCTGCTGAAAACAGTCGAGCATCCCTGCCAATATAGCACGTATAAACTTCGCTGCCATCAAAGATGCGCGGGGAGATGTTTCACGCCATTGTCGAAAGTGAGGCACGGCTCCCTAGCGCCGTGGAACTGCTTTCAAAGGGGCGAAATATTCTCTATCGGTAATGAAAAACGCGTCTGCAGATTTCAAATACAGCACAGTATCGATAGAATGAAGTTATCGCTTTTTCGTTTTTAGTATCAGGGTCAACGTAGGTTGGGAAAGAAGACTACGAATACCAATTAAAGTTGTTATGCGTGGATGATTGAGATTACAACGCAGCTCACAAGTGTAACCCTGTTTTACCGATTACGAAGATTTCGCCCCTTTGGAAGTAGTTCCAATTTTTACAGAGGTGTAAAGGGCGTAGATGGCGCCAGTAGGCCGTGCCTCTCTTTCAAACAATGACGCGAAACATCTCCCCGCTCATCTCTGCTGCCATATTCAACGCAATAAATTTGGCTACAAGTTCATGATTAAAAATTACCAATCTATTCAGTTACGGTAGCCAATCTTATTCGACTGCAGTAACGGATTCACCTTGTTGCGGTAACAAACTTATTTGGTTTCCGTAGTCGATCGAGCGGTAGTAGTATCGAACCTACTTGATTGCCACGACCAGTCTTATATTATACTTTTTAAAACGTAAAATAAGAATTTGTAATATACAAAATAAAAATATTCTTTTTAGCCCCATCCAATTACAGAGGGTGTTTAGTAGGTGAACCTTTATTTAATGAATTTTTGTTTTCATTTATTTACGAGTCCGGGGGTTTTCGTATGACTGGGACGGGTCACGAACCAGGACTTCTCGTTGTCCGGGCAAGCGCTATACCACCTAATCTAACGAGGCCATCTATGGAAATTCATCCATAAATGCAATTTTCATTAAAATGGAAGAGTCCCGTTTGCACGTTTATAAAATTTACAAGATATTATTCTTCTCTAAATTTTAAGTCGCCCCTGTAATAGTACATCGATACCACAAGCTCGTTTATTTTATATATTACAAATTCTTATTTTATATGTTAGAAAATACACAAGTTCAAAAGCACATGATGAGAAGTTGTCGATTTCGGTTGGTTAAAATCAATCATTTAAAACGTTGTCAGGTAACTTATTGCATTTTAACGACATTAGTCGGTTGCTTTCATCAAAAGAACTTATTTGTTTGACTCGGTTAAATTTTGAAAAGTGGAACTCGGTTGCGACAACCCATTAATGTATTATTTTTAACCATTTCATTTTAATCGATTGAACGTGGCAACAGACAGCAGTAGTCATTGGATTACTTTTAACAATTACTTGGTTATTTTTAAATGATAGTACTTTAACCGAGCTAATTTTGAGTTTGGGTAAAGTTTTATTTTCTCAGTGTGTTTTTCTTCTTCTTCAAGTTTGCTTCCATGAAAATATCGAGTACTAATCCGTTACGTTCCTTCTTCCTCGACTCCTAGTGCATTACCAGAGGATCGTGCACCGCGACATCAAGCCCAGCAATCTGCTCGTGGACGGCGAGGGTCGCGTGAAGATCGCCGATTTAGGAGTGAGCGCGGAGCTCCGGGAAGCGTCGGAACTGCTGACGGGATCTGCAGGCACGCCGGCATTTGCGGCACCGGAAACGACCACCCCGGGGGCTCGATATTCTGGAACGGTGAGTGCGCCCTAACCGTCTCCTATCGAGAGTGCTCTTCCGAGGGTTAGCCGTGCCTCCATACCCCTTTAGGCTTCCTCAAAGGTGCCAAAACTAGCTGAGGATCCGGCGGCGTCTCAAAGTTAGATGGTCCTTGCTGCGAGTAATTGCCGGTGCAATTACGCCAAAACCGCTTGATAGATGCTCGATAAATGGTATTACATCTTAACCGATATCGAACGGTTATCGGTTCTCTTTAGGTCGACGTAAAGACCAAGATCAAGAAACTCGATTGAGTTTCGAACTAAATACATTTCTGAGCAAGAAACTTGTAGCGTTGAGCTGCTCAACTTGAGCGATGCGAGAAACGCGCCTTGCGTGTTGAGTTCGAGCTAGATGCTAGAGTTATATATAGTAAGGATCAGAATTTCAGGAGTGGGGGAAAATGAAAATATAATTTCTTCATTGCTACAGATAAAGAAATAAACTTTCGATCAACTCAAAAAATCCAGCAAAAAATCAGGAATTTTTTTTTAATTTACCCGACTCCGCTTGCTGCTATGTACGTAAAGACATGGCACTGTAAAGTTTTCGGCACTCTCAGAATCGTTCTCATATCGTCATCGTCGTCCCTTCAGTCACGAACTACCATTTTCGCACTCACATAATAGGCGGACTGTCATATGGTTTTTGGGCAGCCAATATGTGACACCGCCTCGCGCGGATTGAAAAGGAACTATACCCATCCCAGCTTTAAAATGATTCGATTTTGATAGAAAAAAGGTTTCTTAATGTTTTTGAGATCGCCGAAGCCAAGTCAAATAATACAATTTCAAAATTCAAAATGGCGGACCAAATATGGCGAATATAATTTCAACATGATTGGATTATTATAAAAAACGGTTTAGCGTGGTTTTTATAACCGCTTAATCCAAATCTGGCAATAAAATTTTGAAATTCAAAACGGTTGATCCAATACGGAGTATAAAAGTAGTTGGATTTTTATAAAAATGAGTTTCTCATGATAGTCGTGCCCGCTGAATCCAAATCTGGAAACCGAATTTTAAAACGCAAAATGACGGATAAATAATTATGTTTGAAAGAATGATTTCTCCAGATCTTTAGGGCCATTGCTTCCAAATCCGTAAACAAAATGTTTAAATGCTAAATGGTGGATCCAATATGGCGGATAAAAATTTAAAAATGGTTGGACTTTTATAAAAATGGGTTTCTCACGGTTTCTGTGGTTGCTAAATCCAAATTTGATTTTAGTATTTCAAAATTTACATTTCCGGATAAATTATGGTGCCATTCAAAATGTTGAGGGTGTTAATATAAGAAGATATATTTATATGTACGGCGTTTTCGAAATATACATATTCTTAGTAATTTTTATCAAATGATATGTTTGTAGTAATTATATTTTTATATTACAGGAATGTATCAGATACATTTTCCCATTTTATTATTAATAATAGAGACATTAACATTTTTTTTACAAAAAGGAGTGACATTCCCACAAAACACCTTCGGTGTACAAAAATTTAACCAAATACATTTATCTTTATTCAAATAATTACAAAAATAGCTAAAATTGCTCCCTTCCCATGAAAAGCTCAAATCATCTATTTTTGTCGAATATAGTAGAACATTCATTCCATTAAAGTCTCTGCTAAAATCATTTTGCCAAATGTCACAGTAGATTTGGTTTCACGTATGTTGTATGTACATGATTTTCTGCTTCCTCAAACCGAAGACAAATATTAAAAACTATATCGAAACAAATCAAAAAATTAGAAACTAAATTGGAAAGCAATATTTTATTTGGCAAGCACCAAAATGATCATATGTTAGGAGTACACCTCAAGTGCTCGCCAAATAAAATATTGTTTTCAAATTTAGTTTCCAATTTTTTGCTTTGTTTCGATATAGTTTTTAATATTTGTCTTCGGTTTGAGGAAGCAGGAAATCTTCTACACACAACATATGTGAAACCAAATCTACTGTGACATTTGGCAAAAAGATTTTAGCTTAGACATTAATGGAATGAATGTTGTACTATATTTGGCAAAAAAGATGATTTGAGCTTTTCATGGGAAGGGAGTGTTATGTCCCACGTAACGCTCTCTGCGCGTGCATCGGCTCGCGTATCGAACTAGCCCGGGAGGCCCAGGATTTTTCTTCTTCAAAGTAATAGACTCATCTAGTCTAAAAATCGTTCTTTTCAATTCAGACAACCGAGGGCACCCCATTTTAGTTCTCGCGACCAGCTGTCGCCACGATACGTAAATAGTAGATAAATCGAAAGGGATCCCGAAGACCTCGAGCCTAGCTGCTCCTCGTAATATTCAAAATATTTAAGGTGAAGTGAAACACGTCGAGGAACTTGATCGACGTCGATAAAGAAGATTTTTCTAAATGCCTACGTTGCCGACGTTCGTTTTTATATTGACAGCTGTGCCGAATTATATTGGGTATTATACCAAATGGCATACTCCACCTGTCGTTTTCGTACAATAATTATAAAGAAATCGAAGTAAAACTCCAGAAATCCTCTGGATTCATGCTTTCTGGGGCCCTAATTGATTGCAGAGGAACTCCCTGCGCCATCTGTGATTTCCAGGTCAATTAAATCTTCACTCCGAGACTTCGTATTATCATCGTTTTGGCATAGAAGCGCATACAACACTTATTTTGCCTTTGTCCCGTTCAAATGCGAGTTTATCGATTACCAGAGTGTTCTAAATTGTCGTAAAATTGTCCTGACCCTTTCGATTTTCATACCAGAGCCTTCGATAATTGTATATTGATCGAAATATGAGAGTTCGACGCCATTTTGGTTCAGGTCTGGGCTGAGTTAAAAAATTTCTTTTAAAAATCCACATTTTGAATGTGTCAGGACAATTCTTAGATGATCAGGAGTGATGTGTCAAAGTTTCGGACAGTTTGGTCTAATACTCTTAAAAAAAAGCGTTGTATTCGAATCGACTGATTTGAAGGGTGTTTCACTTCACCTTAAGAAAAGGGGACCCCGCGATGACGGATACCACCCCCGCACGGGCGAGCTCGTGAGTCCCGGCAGAACGGCGACATTAACAATCTGTTCCCAGAAAAGTAAGCATTAACTTTTGTCTCCCGAGGACACTTCTCTCAAATTCTTCGTTCCGAACCACTTTTCCTAAAAACATGTTCTTCAACCCCTTCCTCCAACAGGAGATTTTTTCCTAACCCTACTCCTTTCCCTAAAACATGGTTTTAACTCTTTCCCCCAATGCGAGATTCTTTCCAAACCTCACTGCCGGAATTTCGCGAGTCAAACGTCGGAGGTGGAAATCCTATATAAGTTAGAATTTGAGCAGCGAGCGTCACTTGTAATACTTACTTTTAACTCTTAATTTGACTTAAAACTTGTCATACTTACTATTTAACTTACTTAACTCGTCACACTTCTACTACTTACTTACTAGTTATTCAGTTCAATTTTCAAGACTACGTGAGTCAGTTTCACTTCACGTGTTCGCGCATATCAAACTTAGTTGCAACGCCAGCGAACGGACAGCAAATCCAGAAAACGAATTAAGGTATTTAGAAATACCCACACACACACGCGCACACGTACACGCGCACAATTTGTTGTTTCTTATAAATTTTCCGTAACTTTTATCCAATACACTAAGTAAATTATACCCCAGTTTCTTTATTTCGTAATATTCATCCCCACCAATATCGACAAGCTCGGATAGGACTCGCTGAGAGGCCCACAAAATTTCCATTTCCACAATTCCTTTCAACTTCACCGAGGGCGCAGGGGCTAGGTCTCACCTCCCCGTCCACATACGTAAATTCTTTCACAAAATATCTCTTCCACTCCGTACCCGAGACGTAACAGAAGCAATTTGAGCTATTTTTGTAATTATTTGAATAAAGATATATGTATTTGGTTAAATTTTTGTACACTGCAGGTGTTTTCAGGGGTCTAATTAACGTTGTCGTTGCAGTTACGATCACTGATATTGGGCGGAAAGATTCGTTCACTCACTACTTGCCGTGAAAACCTAACCTTGCAACATCTAAAAATTAAAGTTGTGCATGTCTGAAAATCACATATATCGTTTAGCACTGTGAAAAGATCCCATGGCTATGGAAATGCTAAGGGCAAAGTGTTGTTACTCGCTGTATTAAAGTGATATGAAAGTGTCATTTGAGAAGGTCTGGTTTATGAAACTTTTATTCAAACTGGATGTACCGTATCGTTTGAAATTTTGCCATGTGAACATGGAGGCCTTAAGAAAGGTTCTGGCCTGCATGAAATTTCATTTTTGCAAAAATTTGTTTATAAACATTTTGTTAATTTCTTATAGGAAATCAAATTTTGTGAGTGCCAGAACCTTTCTTATGGTCTTCAAACTTACGTGGTAAATTTTCAAACAATTTGGTGCACCCAGTTCGTAAAAAAGTTTCATAAACAATTGATCCTGCAGATGCCACTTTCATACTACCTTAATGGATACGAGAATGGTTTTAGTGTGCTTCTTTACGATCTAAGTTCTTTTAACGGTATTTTAAGAACGCGTCCCGTGTAGGTCATCTTTGGATTTCTTTGAAATACTAAGGAATTTTCCGGAATTGCAGTATCTCGACCATTTATTATTTTTTTTTCCGAGGAGCTGAAGGCATCGATCCGGGAAAGCCTGTTGGGTCGTAGCTGGTGGGACATTATGCTTGATTTACTCGGGTATAAGCAGAAAAGAATCAAGAGTGGGAGAGATCAAATTTATGTCGGTTACTGGTGTATCAGATCAATATATAATACTTTGTTCACCATTACAGAAACGTTGCCGTAGACTGGACAATTTTAAATGATAAGAAGTGCCTAATATGGAATCGTACTTATATTATTACTATATTGCATATTTTTGGACAATAAACTAATTGTTGGTTGCATTGACATCTGTAGAACGAGTCTTTCGTATAGTTAATTGCACGTATTTTAGCTTATTTTCTTTTGAAAACGAAGCTTTATATTCGAAAAGTTTATTTCGTAATTTCGGTTCACGTCTTTCACGAAGAATCATCCGTCTTCCAATCGTACTGGGATCACGGCTCGTTCTCTTCATTTTTTGCCACTTTGCTTACAATCAGTTTCTACGAAGGAAGGACGAAGATCAGGGGATGTTGCTGTTTCGGGAATTAATTTTAGCCCTAGGTTTATGTTTGTAAGGTTTACGTTGATAAGCCTCGCGGAAAGAGGTTGACAATTTTTGCAACCCGTTTCGGCGAAGAGAATACACCAACAGTAGTAGAAATCCTATGTTGAGGGGCTCTATAAAACAATTCAATGGCTATACATGCCGTAAAACCGAGAAATAACAATTTCCCAAGATCTTCGCCTCAAACTACGTACTTACCAATAACGAGTATCATCTTTGCGTTACGCCATACGCGTTCCTCGTTGCCTCTTATAAACATTTGATGTCTTTTTCTTAGTGATTTACATTTCATCTATGCACTCGACCCCTCCAGAAATCTTAGTCGTGCAATCGATTCGTACAAGCATCGCTCGCGCGTAATGGCTGCCGATCGGTGTCGAATGGAAGGAACGGTGATGGGCACCGGTATTATTATTTATTTATTTATTTATTCCGGCTGCTTTCTATTATTCGGATCTCGATTTAATGACCGGTTATGAGGATAGCGCGTCACTCGTACTCGTGGAAACGGGAGAGACGCCGAAGGCACGGAAGACGAGCCTAATCGAGAAAGTCGCATCGCCGTCGGGAGTGATCGATCTCCCCTCAATTCAAGTCGGCCGGTAATTGATGGTCCATTAAAATCTCCGCTAACGCTCGTCCATCGAGTTACGGACAGTAATGGCACGTGACGAGCGCGGACAAGACCTCGGCTTTTCTGGAAAACGACCTCGTTGCATCGACTCCTGTGCCAGGCAACTACACTCCTTGGTTAAAAGGAACAAGTGCTTTCCGGTGAACGTCGATCGAGTTAGTTTCCAGATTGAACGTGATATTGGGGCTTGTTTCGAGCTCATCCGTGCTTGTTCTCGTATTCCGGCAACGGGAAATATAGCCGCAGTGAACTTGGAAACCTCGACGTTTCAGGGATGCAGTTTCTGGGAACGATGCGCGATCTTGCGAATTTGGTGGGAGTTGATAAAGGAGACGAGTACCGTAGAACTGCACTTATAAGGAAGATAATTAGGCGAACACGTGTACAGAAGTACCCACTTTTTAATTTATATGAAGTTTTTCGTGACATTGTAAAATTTGATCGTGTATGCGATTTTAGGAGAAGCTTATTTTAGGATTTAAGAACATCGTGGGCAATAATTGCGCTATCTGTTCTTCTATTTTTTACTTCCTACGCAAGGTGTGGAGAACATTGTTAAAAGTTATATTTATTTGTAATTGGAAGCATTCACTGGTTACGATGGCTTCGATCCCTCTTTTGAAACTCAATGTTTTAGTAAATAACTCATATTGAATAAAATACTTGTACCACGGTTTATTAAATCTAATACGTATGTTAAAAGGGAACAGACCACGATGACGAGTTATTTACCAAGTTATGCCCTGCGCGTAGGTCACTTAATTTTTGGTTTAACATTTTCTTCGGAGTATTTCGAACTATCATAGTGAGTAAAGCTCATTCTATAATGAGTAATACTAACGTCTCTTCATGAAACGTATATGCGGCACTAGTATACACGGCTAAAAAGCTAATTTCGTTTCGCACTTTTTGCAGTTGTGTGACGTGTGGTCCATGGGCGTGACGCTTTTCTCGCTGGTGACGGGAAGGATTCCCTGGGACGGATCCGGAACCGTTTTGGGTGTGCAATCCGCCGTGCGTACGGAGCCCTTGAAATTCCCTGAAAAGCCAGAGCTTTCTAAGGATGTACGCGACCTGATAAATCACATGACTTGTAAGAATCCGGTCGAAAGGATCACGCTTCCGATGATCAAGGAGCATCCCTGGCTTACCAATCATGGCTTGGAACCTCTGCCCAGCGAAGCCGACAATTGCCGTTTACCGGTCACCGTTACCGATGAAGAGGTGGCCCGAGTTGTCACCAGGGTACCAAAACTGGACACCCTGATCCTCATTAAAACCATGCTGAAACAGCACAGTTTCCAGGTGAGAAACAGATACGCCTTTGCATTTTTGCGTAACTAGTGGGTACGGCCATTATCATAAAATTGCTTTCACCGTTAGAGGAGGCTATTTACAGTTAAAGTCACATCGGCAATGCCACGTTAGGATTATATTCTACGATTTATAACTGTTCCCGTCCTTGAGAGCACTTTATAATTGGGTAATTGTGTTGCCGTCAGAACACATTGGATATTTTCCCATCGAGAGTTTTTAGTTGACTTATGTTGAATAATGCTAAATCCTGTATATAATTTGGAATGCGGAAAAAGAATTCATTATTGAATTTGAGTATACGCAGATGCTATTTAAAAGGAAGAAAGGAAATAATTGCTGCATGCTGTGGATATAGTTTTAACAGCGAAACGTAATGGTGGAGAATTACGTATTAAATTTGGGGCCGTTTATTTTTTCGATTGGTTCATCTATACTTGTAATTATTATGTAGAAATACATGATTCAATTTTGAATTGCCAAGTGGCATATGAGCATATGGCATGATATACCATAAGCAATGATCTCTTTGTATTCGTCTTTTAAAATTTTTTCATTTTTAAGGTGAAGTGAAATCCTCCTCAAACCAGTCGATTCGAACGAAGCTTTTTTTGAAGGATATTTCACTGAACTAACTGGATGAAATTTGAATACCTGACTTGTGAGTAGTTACGGAACATCCTGACACTTTCAAAATGTTGGTTTTCAGGAAAAGCATTTTTGACTTAGCTCAGACTAGAACCAAAATTATGTCGTGCTTTCATATTATGATTAACACTAGAACTACCGACGGATTTTTTTGTATAGGATGGTCCATTTGAAATCAGTAATTTTGACTGGTCTTGGTAGTTCTAGTGTTAATATACAATTCTCGAAGGCTTTGATGTGAGAAATGAAAGTCTCAGGATCGTCGCACAACAATTTAGAACACTAGTAATCGAGAATCCCGCTTTTAAACGCTTTAAAGATAAAAAGGTGTGGCCTCCTATGCGAAGACGAAGGTAACACGAGGTCTTGGAAAGATAATTTAGTTGGCACTTAATGCTACAGATGGGGAAGGGTGGCATTCCATTAAAGTATCAAAAATCATGAATTCGGAGAATTTAGCGAGTTTCAACTTGATTACTTTATACTCATTGTACAGAAACGATACGTGGAGTATGCCATTCCATACATCACTCAATATATTACGTCACAGCTATCGTTGTGAATAAGAACGTCGGTAACGTAGATAGAAGAATCTTTTTTACCGATATCGATTCCATTTTTCGTCGGTTTCATTCCACTTTAAGGTGATGTGATAGGGGCATCTGCAAAGTGTCGTTTATGGATTTTTCTTCGAACTGGGTGTACCGAATCGTTTGATTTTTTACTACGAGAAGATGGATGCTCTAAGTAAAGCTTCAACACTCGTGAAATTTTACTGTTTAAATATTTTTTGTAAATAATTTTCAATTTATTTATAAAAAGTGGAATTTAATGGTTGTCAAGTTTTTTCGTAGGGCCTCCATATTCATGTGGTATAATTTCAAACGATTCGATACCACCCAGTTGGGAGAAAAATTTCATAAACAATTGAACCCTCAGATGACACTTTCACATTACCTTAATAATGACGTTTAACTGTCAGAATAATAATTTCAAATAACTATAATGTTCCCCAGAATCCTTTCTTGCAAAGAAGAGCCAGTCGTACTGCATACGGTGATAATACATTCGGAGAAGAACTTCTTAAGGCCAAATCATCATCGAGGAGAACTGAAGCCGTCAAAATGAGAACGGAACAATTCCACAAGTCTGGAAGAAGCAACTCCGCCCCCGATTCGTATGAATGGCACACTAATGGAAGGTATTTTTTTCTCACAAGAGGCAATTTTTACTTTACGAATCAAGTGATATTTATAGATGCTCATTATCGTATAAATTTTAGCATAAAATGCAAGATAATTTATTACAGATCAATTTTCTTCAAGGTTTTCGTCATTATTAAAATTTCGTTATGATAAAAAAAAGATCTGCAATGTAAATATTTGCGGGTTATGCAACGATTTTAAATTAAATATTTCTACCGTTTTCAGACAAGTGTCCGTTGACAGCGCTTTGCCACCTGTGACGGAAGCCTCCAGTCAAGAGACCGACCTAGAGAATCGGTGATACGTCCAGTAAATCATGGCAAGCTATTTGAGTCGATTGGGAAATCGAGCAAAGAGATGGAAGTAGGGTACATAATCGAAGAAAGATCGCCAGAGGGGACCTGCGGAAAAAGACCAGGAAAATGGATTTTTGCATAAAAACCTAAATCAACGAAGAAACCAATCTTCCAGAATCACCAAGTCGTTCTTCGGCATCCTTCTTTTTTCCATACGAAAGAATGGCGCGACGTTTACGTAACTTTGTGCGTGAATGTATCGAGAATGGAAGAAAGAACATTAATTACCAGAGGCCGTGATGCACCCGTCCGTACATGTTGTTATACGTAACATGCATTGTACTATTCTGCGGGATGTAGTCTGGATTTTATGGAAGATTCATTTATCCTGTGTTCGCGTGCAAAATTTGAGTTGCATGAATAGCGAGCATAAAATAAAATATCACGCATGAAGCACAGAGTTTATAAAAATGGAGAGGAAACTGCTATAGTACGTGTAGATGTGAATTGTCCAGAGAAGACTCGACAGGGAGGGATTTTTTGGTTCTAAACTTTTCCGAAAGTTTATTACGTACGCGTTAGAAGTTTTTTGATACTGGACATTTAAGCGATATTATCATAGGCAACAAACATGTGAAAGAACTTATAGTTTTCAATGAAGAATTTACTCATTTTGAGGTATCTCTCTTTCACAACAAGATGCTGTAATATATACTACACTTGCGCAGTAAGAACTTTCGGAAAACTGTACAGACAGAAGATACCTCTATGTCTAAACTCCTCCGGATATCTCCACTTTTAATGTTTCTCCATTTCTGTAAACTCCAAGGCATGAAGAGGATATATTTTTAGACAAGTTGCATTATCACAGAGAAATGGTGTCTCCAGTTGATATATATAAATGCAATATCGTCTCCCTGATTTATAAATGCTGATAGTAGCATTTCGGGTGGATCGAATTTACGTCGTTTGGAAATCTAATGACACTTACTCAAATCGACGACGTTAGTATCCCCTCTCTGTGGGATTATGAATTGCTTTGATTTAGTGGTACCTCGTGGGATAGGACAACTAGTCGACATAATAAGAATTGCTAATCAGCGTGTCAGAATTAGCGTTTGAGCTCTCTACTCTATTTATGAATTCCTGTTATTAATATTTCAACAATTCCGACTCTGATACGATATGGTTGGAACGTAACGCTGAACTGTACATCGAGTGTAATTTCTACAAGGTATTGTTCTGCATACGCGTAGAAAGTAAGGCTGTCTTGATTTGAAAATGTTAAAATAGCTCTTGTCTATCAGTGTATAGGTTATTACATTGATTGTATGCATTGTAATTCCAAATTTTTTAATTTAAAAAGGGAAATCTAAACATTAGGGAATTAGCTTGGATATACATGTATCGATTCGTTTAATACAAATGCAAAGAATTAATATATAACTTCAATATATTCAACAGTCATTGATGTAGTCTGTCTGTCATATATATATATATTATCATAATTCGTGCACCTTAATGACAGCGGGACCTGGGATTATTTTTTCTCGGTTTATAATTTATTTCCCTCTTATTCACTGCATTGATGGGGTGGTAGCGTCACCATTCTTACTTTCGTGATACGTGCAATATAGGCCTTTTATTTTGGAATATAGTAATAAATTTAATTGAAATTTTCATACAATGCTTAACGCGGGCTATGAAGTAATAACGAAGAATGACAGAACTTTAATGTTAGTTATTTTGTCTAATTCTATTCAGCGGCATTGCCAAATTTGACGCGCAGTGGGAATGCTAAATTGTTTATAAAAATTAGATTGAGTTAAGAATATTCTTTAATTACCCATTTTCTGTAAGACATATTCTAGGAACCGTTGTTGAACTACGTGCTTTCTCGAAAATAGAATAGTGGACATTGATAGTGGATATCACTTAGTATTGTTGCGTCATAAATCATACAAAGCTTCTAATTAAATCAGGATCATTAAGACTCAGAATAAGAACAACAGATTGGAGCTTCATGTTGATGTTTATTCTTATTATTATAGTATTAGTACCTATAACGGACCAAAATTGTAGGATCATGCATCCTAGCACTTCAATGTAAAACTTATTGTTAGGATAACGACAAGGCAATGACTGTCAAATAGCGCGATCGTCAATTTTTCAACTTTCACGCACCATACCCACCAATGGTATTTTTATGAATTTTTAAAATATATTGGACTGAAACGGTAATATAAAAATGTGAATAAATTAGTTATTTTGTTTTTTGTTTGGCGGCGCGGATGAAAATTTGAGAACGCTTTCATGATTGAGCAATGAACGCTCTGAGTACTATTCGATCGAAATTGTAATATTGTTTTCTTTTTTAAGATGAAAAATGATGAAACCTCGATAAATTATGTGCAAACATGTTGTACAGAAATGAGGCATTTTTTATGACGGTTGGCGTCAATGAAAGTTTAATCATGCAGAGAGTACAATGTAGTAAGCTGAAGTGCAATCGTAGCGTATAATTGATAAGTAATATTCCGAAAAATTTTACCATCTAAGAAAAGTAAATCTTTTCCCTACTTCTTCCGCCGTCGTTGTTTATATTTTAAGAGCAGTAATGCTGTAAACAGCATTAACTGACAATGTATTATTGGATTGTGTCTTGCACGCGTTTATCTATCTGATACCTGTATGTATCTACAGATAGACAGATAAAGGGATTGTTCGGTATACACATATATATCGAATCTTTATTGTATGGTGTATCATTTCACCGATAATATGTAACGTGTAATAATGAATGCCAAATTAAAGAATGTTAGAGCGCGGAAGAAAGTAGAAATATTGAGAAGTAACGGAGTGTACATTATTTGGAGACGCAAGAATGATTGAAAAGATTCATATCGAAATCGACATTGGCATATGAGTATTCAAATATTAAAACATATTTTCTAGCAGCTCTGCATTCATGTTACTCATGTTGGCAAACAAATTTACCTGTTTATTTTGTAATTAGCAGCTACTCTATAATATGCATTTTAAGCACAAATGTTCATCTAAGTACAGAAACGCTATATTTTTTAGATGTTTTTACATATGTAGAGAAAGCAGTCATGTTGCAGTTACTACTACAATATCGTTAAATAATAGTACAAAATTACTGAATAATATCTAGAGAAAATTGTTTAGAATTTTCATTTTATAGTTTCCTCACGTATATTAAACACATTTAATGACGTCTTCGTGAATTTCACGTTAAAACTGCATGTTTGAGATGTAGACTATATAATGTTGATTGTCTTTTTAAGTTACGTTTATAATGTATTGTTCAATATTTATTTATTTAGTCGTTTGCAAAATACAGTATAGGGGACGATAGCCTTGTAGTTACGGACATTATTTTTATCCTTCATGTTACCAGAAATGGATGTGAAAAAGATAAAAACATTGAATGTCTAAACTTAAACTAATGTAACTGTAACATGATTATTTTGTTCTTGTGTGTTTTTCTCGTAATCTATCGAAAGTGCGTAAGGTTGATGGTCTTCTGGTGCCAAATTAAAAGACCAATGCAAATTATTCTCTAGCTGTTAAAATCGTGGCCAAGTAGTCTTAATTAATTGAATCAATTGCCTATAAGTCCTCGTGTTAGCTTGTGTGTTTGATCCAACGTATATTTAGAAGATTCTGAAAGAATAGGTGTAACTTGGGATCTGTACCGCTTGGCAAAGCGACATTAGGCTCAGGAAACTCGGAGAAATTTCTAATAATTGTAAATATCTATTAGCTGTAACGAGGTGCCATTAAGACCGAATGAATTTTTAAATAGCTGGAAAAGCAGTGCTCCATTCGCGACGTGGCATTTTTTGTTAACGATTTTCAACGATCGCCCAATAGAGCGCCGCAATTTTTACGTATTTGGGGAGGTTTCCCCGAGAAAGTGGTTTTATCATTTCGGTTTGAAATGTTATCGTTAGTGCATTTCATTTTTGACGAAGCGGACAGATGTTAAGCAAATAAGTTACTATCAACTAAAGTACCTGCACTACAGGTTAGAAGAAGATACCCAAATTTGGATAGAGAGTGTGGAGAAATCCTCGTATTGTAAAACCTTATTGCGACTAGGGGGACCATAATTATACGACCTTAGATGCGTATTTGTAAGCGTATAACGATAAAACGAAAGCCGAAGAGAGAGACTTTGAATAGACGACAAATAGGAAGGTAGAGATATATAGTTTAACGATGTAAGAAAGAAAGATATACTTCGAGTCATATCATGAACCGATTAAGCGACCAATTTATTAGTTTCCGATTAGCCTCGTCTTAAGATACGACAAAGACACTAGGTACGTTGAAAATGCAGATCGCTAGTTGTGAGATTGACCGGCGCGAAAGTAGAGACACGAGCCCTGTTTTTAATGGAATTTATCTCTAGTAGAATTGGGTTCTCAAAGTGAATATATAAGATTTCTCCGCCCTGTATGTACCCCTAATGTGATTTTTCGAGAGCTCGTCCGTCTCCATATTATGTATGTTATATAAATCGCAGCCTTTTCGGAGGACACCAAGCATGCTACGGGTATATTATAATTATATAAAGAGATTTACGTCAAGTTAATAATGTATACATGTACATTTTCCTAGATGTCGGTTACGTGTTATACTCTTGTGAAATGCACAAAAACATTTTGTACATCGCGTTTATTGCACACCGCTGTTTGTAACTCTTCTTCTGCAGTTGTCTACTACGGTCTACGGATCTGTGGCAACACGGATTGATAGATGTAAGTATCGTTGGATTCGAAGCCCATTCAATTCATGCCAAAGGTTGCTATGTGTACCGCAAAATTGTCAACTAGGGTATTTTATGATATTCCCGGTATCAGGTGAACAAAATATGTATGCATTTCATATATTCGTGATATAGGAGAATAAATTGTACCAGCTTCATCGTATTATAGTAGTTGTTGTAAAGGATGTCCTTTTTACTATTATATCGAGCATATAACTAAAGCCGAAAATCTATTTCCCATAGATAAGTCAACCTTGTTACAATATATTACTATCCCCCTTAACAAAGTTTCTGCACGTTATTACAACGGCTCGCATTTTGTCCCTGACTTCATTCTATCATTTGTCATTTAAGTGATTATGAAATTTGTAGACACTAAATACTCTCCAGTTCTTTAATTGCAGATATAAAGATTAAGAAATAAATAATAAGCGATGTGATTCTGAAACTACATCCAAGTTTCGAAAAAACGTAGATTTGTCGTTGATATTCGAATTCTTCAATTTTAATGAAACTCTGGTCCAATTTATATTGCCAAGATCGAATCATAGTTTACGGAAATTCCATTTCTGGCTCGAAAAATGACTAGGGTAGGTGGCCATCCATAAATTTCCATGTTCATCTAATTTGCAAGCTTCGATGCCGCTAGCGAGACTCACCGGACACGCGAACGCGATGCTTCTCCTTTTGGTCCCGTACTTGCCTATTAGAATTGAGTTTCATATTATGAGGTCAGGGACAGTATACTCGATTACTTATCGAAGCATGCATCTAAGCGGAAAATCAATTTCTCGTAGCGAGGTCATGTGAACTAATTATTTGTAAAACGCGATTACGCTCCAAAGATGCGTAAGCACAAATTTGAATAAACTGTCCATTTTCCGCTTTTGTGTCGGATTTGCAAACACCATAAAGATTTCTACAAAACTGTTTCAATCTCCTTGACTTCATTCAATATCAAATACCATTTATTTTTGTAAGTGAATTTAAGAGTCACCTGCAAATATATTTTAAGTTAAAACAGTCAATCTAGATTGTACTTAATGCCACTGACATGCTTGTTAAATGTTGTCCTTCGATTTATTTTAATCGAATTCCTATTCTCCCGAAGAAAAGAAGTTTTGTTTTCAAGTAATGCTCGAAATGTCAACCCGAGATTTGAAAAATACTGAACATATTTTTTAAGTCCATTACAGTGTTTATACTTTGAGTTTCAATTGAGTCTGTATTATGTAATCCATCATTATGTAACGTTACGTGAATACCATCAAAATGTTACTCTTTTATTAACCCCAATTGCAAGAATGTTGTACATTATTTCACTTACAAGATTTCATACTTATATTACATACTTATAACGCTAATCGAATTTCATAAAAATGGTTGCAGACGTACAAAATATCCGAATAAAGAATGTAAACCTAGTTAATTTTTACCTAAAGTTGTTATAAAGTTAATTGGGGAGTAATGGAACATATTTCGATACAATATCGCATTTAAAGGCGAGAAATTACTACAGTTTAGTAAATAAAATTATTAGCAGCAAGAACATCAAACAGAATTTTATTTAATATAGTTCGATTTTTTCGATATTTTTGTAGATTGGAAATCTTTCCATGATTAGGATGATTTTCTAAATTTAAAAATAAGAAATTCAAAGATAAAATTCAGAAGAGGTGGGCCATGTTTCTCTGGTCATTGGTATGTTTTGTCTCCATTTTTTGTTGAGCCTTAACGCGATCTCGATACTATTCCCTGAAACGAAAAGGGTATCATTCATAAATTGATAAGATATACATTTGTATATAACTGAGAATTAAATATGAGTTTGATGTACCTTCAGGAAAAGGCGAATCTTGCCGATAAGCGCGGTTAAATGGCCATTCAACCCGTTTAAAAATGTCCTCATACACTGCGGTAGTATTGAGCTTAACATTGTTTCTTAAAGCTGTTTCAGTAGCATTCAAAAATACTAGCCATCTTGGGATAAAATAATCTTTCACGACACCGGACCACTGCTTGCAGCCGTAGTCGCGGATTTCACCTTTCGGTCCCCACAGCGAAATTAGATTTAAGAAGTTGAAGTTATAATAGAATTTCTCTAACAAATTACTGCCACGAGGAACATTGTACTTCACTAGCAGGAAATTTGGCCCAGAAGCGAGGATTTCTTCAAGGTCTTGAAGGAGTTCCAACCAGAGACGAGAATTGTTTCTATTCAACAAAAAATCATCAGCACGTCATTAGTAAGTACATGAAAAGAATTAGACAAATTTTGTAATAAATTAACAAGCGCGTTTAGATGAACCGTGGCCGAGTAGAGAAGTATTGTATAATGAATCTAGGAGGCCAATCGGTTGCTATCATAAGGAAACATTTTTTGAGAAATTACTAGTTTTCGGATAATTTCAATAAGATTCATTTAGGTAGAGTCAAGAGAGTACTTGAAAGCCAAGTTACTACTGGTTTATTTCTTATCCGATCGCCTCCCCCCCGTCATTTTAACTTCTACATCTACAGATTTTAACATATTCGCCGATTCTTTTTTGTACTATTACTGCTCCTTTAAGTTCAAATATGATGCATTGTAATTTAATAATAAAATGTCGAATGATTCCTTATCGAATTCTATTTGGCGGGTCTGTATTTTATTGAAAACAAATTTCTTTTTATAAGCTTAACACTCTCGTTCCCTTTAAGCTGTATTAAAATAATTCCAAATCACCGCAAATGTTAAGAGATTTTAATTATCAAGTGCAAGCGCAACTGAAAGAAGCAAAAAGGCTTGTTAGGATTCTGTGAGATAATAGCTCATAATTAATTATTTAAATGTCAGTTTCAATAAACATCTGCTCAATTTTAGTGTTATAACATTTTTAGCATGGACCCGTCAAATGGGATTCGCTGAGGAATTACTTAACGTCTTATTATTCAATGACAATACATTATACTTAAATATGAAGGAATAATAGTAAAATAAAAGAAAAGTGGCGAAGTTGCCAATATCTATAAATGTTGAAATTATAATGTTGGGGAGGTAAAAAAATCGTATGAGAAGCAGACGTCTGTAATAAATTGGCTTTGTAACAGTTTCAATGCTTATTGAATCTAGAAACATAACGTAGAGTATATGTGAACTATTCTTAACACATTCGCGACCGGCAAGTTTTTTCCGTTTCAAATACTGAGTACCGGCGAAAATAATGAAATTCTGAAATTTGTATCATTAAAGGGCGTGATTCACGTCAGCGGCAACCAGAAATAGAACTTGAAAAGACGTGAATTCACGTCAGCGGTCGTGAATGTGTTAACTTAGAGTACATGTGAAGTATTCTTAACGTAGAGTATTGTTATGCGATTTCCCACGTAAAAGTTCCCACGCTGATGCTCTCACGCTGACACTGGACTCGGGTACCATTTCGCGAGAAAGACATTAGACCGGAAGCCCGTTTCTCCTTTCTTTCTTAAGATGTGACCACGCAAGGTCGTCTAAACTCAACGAAGGAAGTGCAAATGGTAAAATTCGACATTCCCTACACAACCGTCGAAGTATACGAGTCTCTTTTCCTTTGAAATCCCTTTTCAAACACTACAACACAATTGGATTTCAACAAAGAACCCAAATATATGAATTATCTTGATAATAAATTGTATTATATTGAAGAATCCCAAAAAATTCATAACAATATACTCAGAGTTTGTACTCGGCGAGTGTTGTTGATGCGAAAGTGTTTTCAGCGGGGATATATTAGGCTGATACATAAGTAATGGCGTTTTTAACATGTAACGTAGTGTGTAAAGAAACGCCATTACTTATGCAACAAACTAATAAATTGACAGTTGTCATTCAAAGTAATCTACGAAACTACTGGAGTTGTTTAATCAAATGGTTTTCTAACACGGTCACGATTTAAAGATTTTAAGAAAAGGTTTACGACGTAAATGTAAAGTTTAGGGTATGAATGTAGAGAATATCGAGAACGGAAAGCTCACCGAAAGGCCGTGATGTTATTATTGGAAACTGCTTCCACCAAATCCAGATAAATACCATCGGCACGAACTTGAAGAGCTTGCCTCGTGAAGTCGACTACGTCGTGATTGTAAAGAAAATTCTTTCCCAAGTCAGTTCTCGCTTCAAGGAAGGTGTCCCACGTTCGTAGGAACGATTCTCGATCGTACCATGCCTAAAATGTAAAGGTGGGTACTCGTCCTTGACATTGAAAGTTACATTTTATCTCTGGATAACTTGAACCATTACTTACTGTAATTAAGTAGACTGTAATGTTATTAGAGACTATTTTTTAGTGAATTAAACAAAGCACATAATACGTATAATTACCCAGGGTACGAACTTCCAAGTTGGCCGAATAGTGATGGCATAGTGTCCTCTAATTCTTTCTAACCCGGAGAAGTTATAAATCGTTTTTCCCAATTGCACCCAAGCTTTAACTGCGCTTTCGTTACGTGAACCATATCTTATGATCGAGTACTTCGTAAACCTAACAAAGCGTACGTATAAAAAAACTTTTAATATAAAAAAGAACGAGAAGATGAAATTAATAACACTAAACGTTTATTCATATACGGAAGTATAAGTACGGAAGTAAATGAATGAACGTTCGAACATCGCTCGAACAGGAAATATATGGCCCAGTAATAATTTTGAGATTCTTTCTTTTCTTTCTTCTGAATCAATTCAATCTGCTAAATGAACCCGAAATCTGTGAATTTCTATTCCAAATCTGATTAAAACTTACCACTCATCCAAATTAACGGGTTCCTTCCTGTACGACATTTCCATCATTAAATCGTAGATCACGTAATTTTGATTAATGCCTTCTGGAGTAAGTCCGGTACCAACCATTGTACTATTTTTCATTGTCCTTGCTTCGAAAACTCTCTAAATAATCAGCCACAGTCAGGACGACACGAATGACGAGAAATTGAGTAACAAGAGCTTCTTACGTTGTTTATAACATTAGCGGACCCGAACATTCCAAGGGTTCCGCCAAAATTGTGAAGCATGCACCAGATGAAGGGTTGACCATAGTACGAGTTCAATCTCTCGTATTGAGGAAATTGCTCTGATTGAAGATCGAACACTACCATCCTTCCCTAGAAAAATGCATATAAAATATAAAAGTATTGTTACATTTACGTTTCCTAGCGTGTGATTGTAATTTCCATATCCCAGTGACTTACTTTTGGAACAGCGGTTACATACGCTTTAACACGTGGTTCTGTCCAATAAGTCATATTGTGAACGAACATCCACCCTTGAGTGAACCTGTAGAATGTTAAGAAAATCGGTAGAATCTGCCCACGGATGATTAACAGATAACATTGATTTTTATAATTTTTATACTTTTCATAATAACGCAAAATGCAAAAAAAGCAGGTGAACACAGAAGTGAATGACTTCAATACGAATCTGGGATTTTTAATTGTCAGGTTTAATGTTTGTTTTAAATAGTCAAAGAATCAAGCTTTTTTATTTTCTTCGCGATGGATCTTTCTAGGTAATCAATTTAAGTCCAGTATTATTTATATGGGCATATCATGGGGATGTATGAATGAATGAAAGAACATGTTTCATACCAAACTGCTTGAGAATCGAAACTTGTTAACATTGAAAACACAGCACGTGAAATGTTTGTCAAACTTTCTGGATCGCTGACTTGGGGGTCGTTCTCATTATAGATGTCGACGATGTAGGCATGCTCGGTGCCGAATGTTTTATTGTACTAAAAGAGCAAATCATCGTTTACGTCTTTTATTATTAATTCCTTATTCTAGACTGCATTTATTTGGGTCACCAAGTTATCAAGTGCAAACGAATTTTAATTGTAAAAATATATATCAGGAAAATATATACAAATGGTTCGTAAATCAAATAAAAATTTTAACTTGATGTGTTCTGAAAATATGTTTTACACATATTATGCTTCAATATGATTTTGCAAGAGTAAAACGTTATTGCATTTTTCATCTTCGTATTCACAGTGTTGACTATGCAGTTTAAGTATCAAAGAGCTTCCCGGTAAGAAGGCTGGAATTCATTGGAATTAAAAATTTTAATTCCACTGAATACCTGATTTTTCCATTGCCCTTCATTCCATTGGCGATAAAAGAAAAAAGCAAAATCTAATTCCTATCAATTCACTCTGAAAAATAGAGGGGAATGAGATTCGAAGGAATTCAAAAATACGAGAATTGGAATAGGCAAAGGAATATGAATCTCAATACTCCTTGTGGAATTGAAACAAATTTTTTTATTTCCACGGAAAAAAGAAAAAAACGAAAAAAATTCGATTTTTATGATTACGTACGTTATACTTAAGTTCCTGTCAGTATCCTCATATATTTCTACCTTAAGTAGTAAAATAATATTTTATGCTCAAAAGGATGCTTTCTCGATGATAACTTCCCTTTTCCCTCTCCTTCGAGAAGGGGTAGGGTCATTATAACATAAATGCAAGGAATAATAACAGGTCTTATATGCAAACGAACTGTCTGCATGGCCTGTGAGAAGTTTGGCCATCTGGTGGTTCTGTCGAAACTAATGGTGCCAAACCATTGTTTCCGTAATTACATAAGCAAGTTTAGAGTAACCTTGCAATATGTAAAGTCTTACCATAATTGTGGTTACAGCTACCAGATAAACCTTGTATCTTATTATAGTTATTATAAGCTGTTCATAAAGTTAATATTACCATTTGAAATGTTGATTACTACTGCACCTTTTAAGCCCAGCGCCATGGACACAGTACCTATTGGCAAGGTTACGTTTATCATTCTATGTGGTCAATTTCACTATTTATGCGGTTTCATTTACCACAGTACTTTGACCATGTCACTATAGTAATTATAATAAAATTATTTCTTTCCGTGTATTGACATTAAAGGCGTAACTAATTATTGCGTAAATTACAATGGCAATTTTTTACAATTCTTTCCAATGATACCTTCTCCTCACTTTCGCACATAAAAAATGTGAAATTTCATGTTTATTTAGTAAATACTTTTTAAAATGCATGAGGTTTAATCAAATTTATATTTGGAATTCAGGAGAAAACAATACATTTGAAACCAATCTCAAATATTGGAATTCAACTACTTAATCTCTCGGGTATATAAAGTGGAATTGATTTAAATTTGAACTTATAAACTTATATTCCAAAAAAAGAATTCAATGCAATTGAATATACAAATTTTTTAAAGGAATTGGAAGGAATTAGGCATTCCTATAATGTATTCCTGTGAACAGAATACGAAACAATTTAATATCGACATTTCTTACCGGACTAGAAGGAATTAAACAAAGCAGAAATATATTCCTCTTTTCGGAATTGCACAAAAATCAGAATACAAAAGGAGAATAGATTATAATTGATTCACAGAAAATATATTCCTGTTGTGGGAATTGGACCTGGAGAGAAAAATCAGGTATTAAATAGAATAGAAAAATCATCACTTTTACGTTGAAACTATGAGACATTGAATCCTATTGTATTCAAGCCTTTATACCGGGTTTACAATAAAAATGTTGAACAGTTACTATCATAGACGTACGTTTAAATTAATGAACATTTTAACTTTCTCAATAATCTGTAATAACATATTTTACAAAAGCTCCAAGTATAAATATTTCAACATACCGCTTGAAGAAAAGAGTGTCCGATGATTTGGAATAATGGATCCGTAGGATCGAGTAGATATGGGCTAAAAAGGCGTTATGAAGATCGTTTAAAGTTTACGGAATTTTATGTAGCTGCTTCATATACAACATCCTCACCAGCAGTATTGATCATCGAAATTATTCCACTTGCCCAATTTAACTAATTTTGCATTCGGAAAGATTCTGGAAAATGCTCTGGGGACAAAACCATTGAATGCTGGTAGCACAGAAACTATTCCAATGCTTCGCATTTGGTTGAGTATTGTTTTTTGAATGTTAATGCTGGTGTAATGAAAGTACTCATATAGAGGACCTCCCCAACCTCGAATATTTCCCATTCGCGACCTTAAATATATAACCGGTAAATTAAAGTATGTTACGTAGGCATTGTAATAACAAATATCAAATTTACGTTCACACGAATGCCACATATTTATCATTAAAAATATACATGCATCGGGTTATCCGGAAAGTTCGTGCCGATTTTCGATAGGTAGCATTAAGACTTAAAAATCGGAACGAACTTTCCGGTCAACCCAATAATATTAAAAAGTTTTAGTCACAAGATGTATTTCAAATTATTACAATGACATTGATATGAATTTTATTAAAGGTTATTTAATCATTATGGTCTGTTTTACTCACCAAGGTAAAAATGCTGGACCTCCAAAGTGTTCGTCTATTTCGCTGTCCGTGAGATTCAACTTACGAAATACTTCATATTTCCAAACTGCTTCTTGAGCATTTAAGGCTAAAGCAATATTTATTCCGTTCAATGCCATCCAATCGATATGAGCTATCCATTCGGCTTTTCCATATGACATCATGCTATATGCAGTAGTAACCACGTTCTGATAGAATCTAAATCTGTGAAAATCAATTGATAACGAGAAATTTGGTAGAATTTCAAGCCAAATATATTTGTACTAGGATATATTTACCAAGAGAAATGTTATGTATTTACATTTCTTAGTAATGCTTCGGAAAGTAATACTAATAATAAATATATGTACACGAATAATGCCAACATAGAGATTAATATACCTGTCATTGGAAGTAATTGTGACGTTGACATCTGGTAATGGAACCGGAAGTTTTTTAACACCCGCTGGCATGTTATCCCATGAGAGGCATATATTGCAGTAATTCTTCAAATAGTAATTCATACCCCATGTTATAGCTACTCCAGAAGTTCCAGTAATATAGATTGTATTTTTTATAATACCTATATCCTTCTTGACCACCTACAGTTGAAACAGAAAAACGAGGTACTAAATGAAAGTTGAATTAACAAGCATGACCCAAATATTTCCTGCGCGAATGAATCAGTTTTGGAATAATCTTTTTCTAATATCTCAAAGTATTAAAGAAGACAAACGTTAATTCTTTAAAGGGATATTTTGATATTTTTTGTACAATTATTTAAAGTTATACTAACAGTGTGCGTACCTTTGCGACATGGCGATGTCCATTTTTATACGATATATGATTTTTGAGGATATTTAAATATTGTTTAAAAATTTATTTAATAAACCGCATTGTTGAAGTTCTTGAAATTACGGAAGTATGATTAAATATACATTCGTCTAATTTATTATAACATAATGAAATGCCATTTTCATTCAGTTTAACCTAGAATTACTTATATGCTTTTTTCATTAACACATTCGCGACCGCTGACGTGAATTCACGTATTTTTAAATTCTATTCCTGGTTGCCACTGACGAGAATTCACGTCATTTTAAATTCTATTCATGATTGCCGCTGACGTGAATCACGTCCTGCTTATTGTTAGTAGGCTCACTAATTATTAGCCGGCGTGGCGCACAAACTTTATCACTTTTATGCTTGCTTTAACGATACAAGTTTGCGGCAACCAGTTTCAGAATTTCATTATTTTCGCCGGTACTCAGTATTTGAAACGGATAAAATTTGCCGGTCGCGAATGTGTTAAGGTGAAGTGAAACACATCGAGGAACTTGGTCGACGTCAATAAAGACGATTTTTCTAAATGCCTATGTTGCCGACGTTCGTTTTTATATTGACAGCTGTGTCGAGTTATATTGGATATTGTATCAAATGGCATATACTCCACTTGTCGTTTTCGTACAATAAATATCAAGAAATCGAAGTAAAACTCCAGAAATCCTCTGTATTCGTGCTTTCTGGGACCCTAATTGACTGCAGAGGGATACCCTGCGCCATCTGTGATTTCCAAGTCAATTAAATTTTCACCCCGAGACCTCGTATTTCCATCGTTTTAGCATAGAAGCGCATACAACACTTTTTTTGCCTTTATCCCGTTCAAATGCGAGTTTATCGATTACCAGAGTGTTCTAAATTGCCGTAAAATTGTCCTGACCCTTTCGATTCTCATATCAGAGCCTTCGATAATTGTATATTGATCGAAATATGAGAACTCGACACCATTTTGGTTCTGGTCTGAACTGAGTTAAAAAATTTTGTTGAAAAATCCAAATTTTGAATGTGTCAGGACAATTCTTAAATGATCAGGAGTGATGTGTCAAAGTTTCGGACAGTTTGGTCCAATACCCTTAAAAAAAAGTGTTGTATTCGAATCGACTGATTTGAAGGGGGTTTCACTTCACCTTAATACTCTTCACCTCATGCACCTGATACCAAGAATATATTACCTGAAATGTATCCTTTCCCTCTGGTCCTAAATTTGGTATGAGATCCAGAATAAAAGCAGACGAATAACTTCCTAATAGTCGGTTTCGTACAAGAGTGGCGGCATTAAGTTGCTCCTTGTATGATGAACGAGGCTTCAAATGTCCCAATGTATCTTGGAATGCTGTAGAAATAATATTTGCTATTTATTTCTCATAACACTTAACAGTAATTATTTTGTTTATTTTATACTATAGACACATAATAACTGAGAGATTTTACATGTATTTATCAAAATAAGTTTTACAAAGGTGGAGAGTTAATGTGAAGCATCAATGACAATACTTCAATGCACGATTCTTAAAAACGCTGATTAAATACGAAATATGTGTTCAGTTTCGTACGAAAGTATGTAACGGGTCACTTCAATTAGTAACATGTTGCTTATGGCGCCTTCCTTTATAATGATACCAGCCGTTTGAGTACCAGAGGTTTTTAAAAAAACACGATCGAAAATAGCCGAACAGCGCAATAGCGCTTTCTGAATGGGATGCGAAAAGATCCAAGCGGCGCGATAGCGCTCTATTTATTCTGTGTTGACAAATTCGTCTGGAAAGTTGAGCGCGTTTCGTCAGATTGTGAGTGCGCGGTCAATTGTCGGTATCGTTCAAATGCACTGAGTTTTTTGACATGAAATCTGAAGAGCGCGAAAGCGGCGCGTGGGACTCAAACGGCTAGTTAAGTAGTATTTGACAGCAGGAAGTGCATATTTCAACTAGTAGGTATCTATTTTATTTATTGTAGCATTATCGATATTGAGTTAGATGGATGGCTTGGAGCAGGCTATTCAAGTTTGTTCATCAACTTACGTAATTGACAACAGGTTTTGCTTCTACGACTGGTAAGAACCAGCCTTACCAGTGGTAAATTACCATTTATTTCGATGGGAGTAGCTGAGATATTCATCGATTATCGGAATAGAATCGATCGTTTATATATATAAAAAAAAGCATTGCGCGACCGGCAAATTGTGTCATTAATTTTTGTACATTAATGCTGGTCTAACTTTAAAGAGCGTTTCTTGTATCTGTACTTACTTAACAGGCGGTATCGTTTTTCCACTTATCCGATTAGGGATAAATATAAACAGCAGTTAGGCCAATTATTGCGTTAATGTAGGTAGTTGATATTATGTATTTTATTACTAAATTCAAGAAGTATCCCGATTTAACATAAAACGTACTACTCTATTAATGTTTTATACAATAAGAGACATTAGAAAATTTACCGTCTCCATTTGTTGTTCTGAGGGATATTATGACACATCCGAAAATGATGATTAATTGCTTCATCATTGCAGCCCTCATTGCTTCAGCAAAAATTGAATTCAATTGTCCTTCTATGTCCGTACTTATGGACTGTACGTATGGACACTAATTGATTAATTCATAGACTGGTTGAGTATTATCTAAAGCTGCGATTTAATTGGAATTTCCTCTTCATCCTATCAACATTCGAAAACATCCAGTATTATATCCTTTAATTTCAATGAAAGTATAAGATTAAAATGCGCGCATTCTGCTTTTCTGTGAATGACATACTGTACATGATCGAAATGATGACGCGTATGAATTAACTAATTCATGTATAAAGTTTAAAAGAAATGTACGTTTTCCCTAGTACACGTTTATGCAAAATGACGCATTTTAAAGTAAAAAAGAATCTGCACGAAGTGAAATACAAGGATTCTTCACGAATACAGCAGTCAATTGAAGAAATATTCAGTCGGCATTCGTGAAATCAATTTAAACACATAACTCGAAATTGTTAGACTGAATAATGGAAAAAGTAAAAAATATATTTTCTTCTCGTGCATTCTCATTAATCTCCTCAAAAGTCTATCATTTCTAAATGACTTATTAAGTAAAAATACACTGCTCGCCAATAAAAAACTGCGTAAGACATCAAAGCTATGTATGTCCGATAACCACATGTATCGTTTAACACCATGTAAAGTGACTATGGCAATATGTCGGTAATTACAAGTATTTACTACACCTAAATTTAATTATTATCTTGTTACATTATTGCAAACATTGTATGTTTGCCTATAATTTATATGATTTTTACTTGTAGGTACTGCGATTTTTTCTTCCAACAATGTATGGTTGAAATTACTATTCATATCTGCAATGATTTGATCGTTGAATTATTTGATTCAAACTTTTTTCTTTCTACATCCCAGATCTGACAATGAAAGACATTATCTTGTGTAATTATTTTTATGCTTCCAACTGCACAGATACTCTAAGTTGGATTTTTTTATACCATGTACTTATGTAGTGGCAGTTGCAGTGGCTCGTGGCAGGAACACTGGAGCACTAACTTTGATCTCACTTGAAGCTACTTCAAAATGTTTGAAGTTAGTGGCGGGACGAATAATCTCGACCTTTACCCTTGTCGGTGTTTTCAATAGTCTGTTTCAAGATTGCTCTGTATCTTATGGTTCTACTATTCAATGGTTTAACTTTGCTTCGTTGAAAGCTATGTATGTATACATATAACAATCGAGTCAATGCCCGAGGAAACGAATGGTACAAAGAAGAAAAGTGAATAAACGGCTTCTCGATTAAGTCGTCGAAAATGTTTATGAACGACATCAAACCTGAGAAGTTTGTAATCTTAGTATTCGTGATAACGTGTCTCTGTCGATAAGTCGGTGTGACCTCTGGCTGTCAGGTTATTCTTGGGAGCAGTAACGTATAAGCTGGTCTAATCAATGTAAATTTAGTAGCGCATTGGAAAAAGTATACAAATCCGTTCTCAGGATTTCGAGATTGTGGGACACAAATTAGTGTAAATCTTACTTTCCTTCTCCTTCGATTACCTCATATTACCTTAAGTAGAGGAGAATGGGGCACAGAGGTCTTCGTTTATATTTCTGCTATAGGTGCTGCCATCTGTTCGGTGTTAGTGTACATTAAACGTCGTATTGCTCTTTATAAGTTCGCGGTAAGAAGTCGTCGTTTCGTCAGTAAGTTCCGTTGTATTATCGAAAAAAGTGATTCGTAAGGTAAATCTTGTAATATTTTCTTATTTCCATTGTTTCTAAAGTGATTGAAGACTTTTAATTTGTGTTGATTTACTACAGGCATTTGAAAGTGCTATTAATAAGGTCTTACAAGGTTATGATAGTCTACTATCATCAATTATCTAAATTCCACAATCTAATTTTGTTGTCTGAATACGCATTTCAGGTAACAAAATTAGATTGTGGAATTTAGATATTTGATGATAGTACAGGCACACAGATGATACTACAGGCATTTGAAAGTGCTATTAATAAGGTTTTACAAGGTTGTGATAGTCTACTATCATCAATTATCTAAATTCCACAATCTAATTTTGTTGTCTGAATACGCATTTCAGGCAACAAAATTAGATTGTGGAATTTAGATATTTGATGATAGTAGACTATCATAATCTTTTAAAACCTCATTAATAGCAAGCAGACAGTGCTGATATGTAGTCCTTTATGTCCCTAGGTCGATCCTATATGCCCCACAAGAGGGGTATACCGAAAAGTGACGTTTCCAAAAACGAATAGGACTATTTGTCTAATCAATCAGCGTTCGACCACGGAGAAAAAAAAATCTGTTAAGTTTACAGAAAAAACTGTACGATAAACGATGCAGAAGCCGAATGTATAGTCCATTTGGGAAGTGATTTTTCAATTATTAGGGAGGGCAAGGTACGGACCTTAAAATTTGACTCAATCGCGACGTGCGAGATTCTTTCAAGTTTTAAGGTGATATGCAAAGGTCATTTAACATACATAAAATTTCAAAATATTTATACAACTTCTCTACAAACTGGATGCACCAAATCGTTGGAAACTTCAGTATGTGATTATGGAGGCCCTAAATAAGGAAGAACGTAATGCTCGTGAAATTTCATTATTAAAAAAAAAATGCGATCTTGGTTCTAGTCTAGGAGAAATAAACAAAATTTTTCTTTGGAAAATGAAATTTCACGAGCATCGCATTCTTCATTAGGGCCTTCATAATCACGTGGAGATATTTCAAATAATTCGGTGCACTCAGTTTAAAGCAAAGTTTTATAAATATTTTCATATTTTGATGTATAGAATGACCCTCTCATATCACCTAAATCATACAACAGTCGCGCCTAGGGCAGTATCTTTGGCGCGTTATAGAAATTCGCGTTGTAGGGATAAGCGATATACGGGAGTTTACTGTATATTATTTACATGAATCTTTTCAGCATTTAAGAAGAAGATTTTCATGTGAGGTGTAATATATTTTTGTTCATGTTTTATCTTTCATAATTCTAAAATTCCAATTGTGCAAACGTTTGGAAGTATCAATGCGTAATGATTTCTATTCAATAAGAATATGGTACACATTTAAAGAAATGTATTGTGTTCGTAATTTTATTTTCTTAAGGCAGTGGATATCTTTCTTATGACATGCGAAGTCTAGAAAACAATAAATATTAAGCAAACGATAACTAAAATAAGATCTACACGTTCAGAAGTCAATTTTAACAAATTATGAAGCAAATATAATATTATTTCTTTCTTTTTTTTATATTAAAGTATCTGATTCGCACACTACACTATGATATTTAATCAAGGCCTATAGAAAACTCTCTTTTAACTAGGTACATGAACAAAAATTTCATCATTAATTGCGACTTTGCCACCGTGATATAAACCACAATAAACACCAAATATGGGCGCGGTTCCATCAACGGCAACTTTTTCCGAATCCGTTTGTTGCCTGAAACTTAAACAAAATAGATCTAATATAATATCTTTGCAGTGTTTTAGGCAGGGGGAATAACAAAAAATTAATATACATACTTTAACGAATAATAGAAAATTAATATAATTTGTGTTTTCAACAGCAAAGGGTACGTACGTTTTCAAAGTTTTCAATGGTTCTTCAGCATCTTGAATACCAGTATATGGGTCGACTCGTACCATAGAACACCTTAAACAAAGTAGGAGTATATATTTCGAATTGCAGGGAATGCATATAGATTATCTACAGTTCATCGTGGGATAATAAGTTCAAATGCAGCATTTTTACTATCTACATCTGTTTTAACTTTTCTGCAATCAAAGCGAACTGACATTACGTTATGATCAATTAACCATATAGAATGTCACTGGACATAAATTGCAACAGGTTAAACAGCACATTCATAATGAGTATGTTATCTTGATGTAATAATTCGCGTGCTATTGATCAAATGACGTAAACTTTGAATAAGTTGATATCAATGTACGAGTCTTGTAATTTTGCTATTCGTACTTCTTCATGTTATTTCATGCACTAAAAACGTTCTGTTGTACTAGTTTCCACTAAAATATGAAAATGTCTAAACAGTGAGGATCATCCGTGCATTCATCACAGTTAATTTGAAACTTCAGTATCGATGAAGAATATAAGTACCAACGACGACGGGGTTTAAATATTACGTCAACATATTTCAAAGTTAACACCTTGGACAGGGTTTGATATTTCTAAGAATGACATGTTTTCCAATTTTGATCCATTCCCAATTATCTTCCGCAAAAGGCTGTGATCCAGAAACCAATAAATTAGGTCTTAGCTGTAACGCTGGGATTGATTTTTCTAGTCTTTGGTTCAATTGATCCATCGAAGATTCGGTTATTAGCATGTAACTCGCCAAATCTGAAAAAATACCCTAAAGAGTGAATCGTAAATTAATTGAAAATGCAATCGTTTAAGTATTATATATAATAAATTGTTTTACCGTGTCTTGGTTCCTTAAGGTTTTATAAACTTTAGTGAACCGTTTCCATGGACCTTTGAGTATATGTCTATTGCGATCATGGGAATATCCCAAACGATAGCCAGTATTCTCTCCGAGTACGTATCTGAAATCAGTATTAGCATTGGAACGTACGCTTTAAATGCAAAACAGTTTTGAAATGTAATTGAACATTAAATAAAACCAACCTCGATATCCATTTTGCAGCCTCGGGACCACAATCGATACATTTTAGTGGCTCGTCCCACCACATGTAACATTTGACAAGACGTTCAAATTTTTTTAACTTCGGAATTTCAAATATGACATCAGGCATCCCAGGAGCTTTTAACTTTACTTGAGTACTATTCACAATGAGAAGTTTCACCAGGATCAAAGTGGGATGTTGTCTGGCGGTGACAAAACGCCCCTTGATTTCATCGTAAATAATGAACATTCTAAAATCGAATCAGTTTCAGGAAACGTTTTATTAATATCATCATATCAAAATGAAACGTTGTAACAATTCAGAAAACTTTAGCGCTCAACATAGAACGGCAACGGACTCGTTTTCTTTAAATTGTTGATTTTGCCTACATGAGACGAGTTTCAAGAAAGAATGAAACGAATTTCGTAATATGTTCTTTACAATTTTCGATTAAAGAGTTGAGATTAAAATATCGTAAATGTTTGAAGTAGTATCTATTACTGTAAAATATAAAAATAAACTGAACGAAGGACGAAACTAAATACTATTCAGGGTGTAAATCGAAATTATATTCTAAATAGGCACTTTTGAAATTGACCCATTTGAAATTTTTCCATATGAATATGAGGTCCTTAAAAAAGTCCTAACGTCCATGACATTTCATTTTTTTTAAATTTGTTTATAAACATTTCGTTAATTTTTTATACAAAATCAAATTTCTCAAATGCCAGAATCTTTTTAGGGTCCCCATTCTCACGTGGTAAAATTTCAAGCAATTCGGTACACCCAATTTGCATAGAAGTTTTATAAACAATTGATTCGCCGATGCCACTTTCATATCATTTTAAGTGTTTTGTTTCTACGGTTGTTTGCGTAATCGTCACTCTCAAGTCTTTAATTAAATAAAATTCGACTACTAGGTAACTTACCATTGACATTCAGATTTATCAGACTTTGTGAAACGAACCTGTCTTGAAGTATGAAAGCTTCTTCTTCAACGCTGATTCCAAACTCCGTAAAGTTGCAGTTACTTATTTCTATTCCACTGCCTGACTTCAAAGGATAGAAGAAGAGCTTGGCCACCTTACCAACTTTAGTCCATCTTGGTTGTGGAAGTTCTGGGATTATATCATTGTCTTCTGCATTAGAAACATGTTTCTGATTTCGGTCAAGTTCTAATTTCAAATTACTGTCTTCGTCTTTATCTTTTTCAGGTGGTAATGATAAATAAAGCTTATATTTCGAAAGAAATACCATAAAACCGGTACTAAGGCCAATGGTTATAACACTAATTTTCCAGAATCCACTTATATTCATTTGTTCCATAAATAATTTCAGTTAGTTCAAGTTGTTCATACGAGGAGAAATCAAATCTTTACTGTTGTTATCTGTACGAGGATAAAAGTTTTGTAGTTAATGATATGCGAATCGGTTAAGTGTGATGTGCTATCCACTTATATTCCTTTCCAATCCACTTATATTCATTTGTTCCATAAATAATTTCAGTTAGTTCAAGTTGTTCATACGAGGAGAAATCAAATCTTTACTGTTGTTATCTGTACGAGGATAAAAGTTTTGTAGTTAATGATATGCGAATCGGTTAAGTGTGATGTGCTATATAGAAAATGGTGATTTCAGAAGATTGTAATATATAATATAATCATGTACGTATGTTTGACATACAATGATATTTGATCGAGGACGATACCATAAGTGTCATATGTTTGGTTAAATCTCATTCTGGACAGAAAAGTTCTCATGTTCAGTCATTTATCAATTGTAATAACAGATTGCATTTTATATTTGTTTTTAATAAATTATGCGGACTATATTAATTCCAATAAATGTTTATTTCTTACAAGTGTTTCTCGTTACTACTAGTGTAAGTGTAGTAAGTGTTACCAGTTTCTAGTAGAGATAATATGTAGCCAAAATATTTAGAAATAAAAGATATATATGTCAAGAGAGTAATTTGTATTCCTAAGAAACGAATCACGACGATATATATTTAAAAAAAAATACCGCAAATTGTACATTACATTTGTTCATGTAAAAAAGTGTTTACTCAGGGCACAGAAAATCATTAGTACGGCAATGACTGCAGATGTACTACCGATCAGTGAAGGATTAATACCTTTTGAAACTGTGTGCACATCTAGTATCAATTATGATTTTAGTGCATTGAATTTAATGAATATGAATGCTGAAGAATAATAATTTAATCATGTCGCGAAAGTTATTCGTAACACTCCACATTTTCTATTCAGTTTCAGATGTGATTCTTAATGATTATTTGGAAAATCAGTACAAAGGGCACTTATTTTTCACCTCAATTTTAGCGACGGATCTTCGTTTTCATAGGCTCTAAAGAAATGAACGCCGTGAGTAAACAATTTAATTCAATAACTCATAATTAGTATCGTATCACAACACGTGTCGTGACATGACAGAAGGAAATTGCATTCAATTGTTGCGTTTGGTATTTCACTTTCTTGTAAATAAATAATTAATTAACTTTGCTGCCGATTACGTTTGGAAAGTTGCAGTGAAATGTTTCAAATAATTTGCATCACTTCTACTTGAAAATCGTAAGTGAATGAGTCCGGTAGTGGTCTGGCATCTGCCACCGTCCACAGTCTACTAGTCTTGCCCATGACATGCAAACCTACTTCCCTGACGAAGTTCAACGATCGATTACGTTAGAGATATTTTATAGCGATTACAGGTGAGTGCCATTTATTTGATTCACAAGCACTCAATTGTGTAGGCAGCTACATTGTTCGGTATTTCAAATTAATTTTAAAGCATTTATATTTTATTTCGATTCTAGTTATTTTTAACAATTCGAGATTCTCGTGATCGGAATTCGATTGGAGATCGATATCTCGAACGAGGATTATCGCGTAGCGGTTTTTTACGAAAGTGCTGCCACCACAGTACGCGGACATTGAAAGAACGTACTGACAGAAAGAGTTTTAGTCAGTTACCACTAACCTGCTTTACCAACAGATAATGAACGACACAGAAGCAGGCATAATCGTAAGAAAAATATTAATCTTGCAATCTTGCTTCATTCTCGACGTAATTATGAAAATTGTGCAGATTCATTAAGGTTCTAATACTTTACAGATTTTTAGTGTCGAGCAATATCTATTTGGAATCATTGAAAGCTTGCTAAAGTAATGGAAAAAAAGTGATACCCGAAATTAACAGTACCGCTTAATATAATCCCCTCAAAACGTCTTCGGTGTACAAAAATTTAGTCAAATACATTTATCTTTATTCAAATATTTGGCAAAAATAGATGATTTGAGCTTTTCATGGGGAGGGAGCAATTTGAGCTATTTTTGTAATTATTTGAATAAAGATAAATGTATTCGGCTAAATTTTTGTACACCTTTTTGTAAAAAAAATGTTAATGTCTATTATTAATAATAAAATCGGCAAATGTATCTGATACATTNTCGAAAATCCTGAAAAAGGTGCTCCACGGGGACAACGATTTTGAGCGTATTTCTCAACCGATTGAGCTCAACAAGTGCTCGTTTTAAAGATAAAATGTTGACGTGTGTTTACATGGAAGCGATTTTCGATCAAGCACCTCCTTCGTAGGTAAAAGGGCATTGAAATTATGTCGTTGCACTTTTTTATATGAAAATGACCACTTATCGAAAATTGCTCCCATAAAAACACAGGTCAACGTTTCATCTTCGATATGAGCACTCGTTAAGCTCGATCGGTTTAGAAATACGTTCGGAATCGTTGTCCCCGTGAGGCCCTGCAAAATCGCTGGAGTGGTGAGCGTCCTTGACACCCTCAACATTTTGAATGACATCATAATTTATCCGCCAATGTAAATTTTGAAATACTAGTAAAAAATTTGGATTTAGCGACTACAAAAACCGTAAGAAACCCAATTTTTAAAAAAACCAACCATTTTTAAATTTTTATCCGCCATATTGGATCCACCATTCAGCATTTAAAAATTTTGTTTATAGATTTGGAAGCAATGACCCTAAAGATCTGGAGAAATCATTTTTTCGAACAAAATTTTAACCGTTTTAAAATTTGTTATCCACCATTTTGCGTTTTAAAATTCTGTTGCCAGATTTGGATTCAGCAACGTAAAAAATGTATAAACCTCTTTTTTTCTTATAAAAATGCTACCATTTTATAATTTCCTGACCGCTATTTTGAATTTCAGAACTTAGTTGTCAGATTTAGATTCAGTGGGCACGACTACCATGAGAAACTCATTTTTATAAAAATCCAACCATTTTTACATTTTCATTCGCCATATTAGATCAGCTATCTTGAATTTCAAAATTCTATTGCCAGATTTGGATTAAGGGGTTAGAAAAACCACGCTAAACGGTATTTTATAATAATCCAAACATTTTGAAATTATGTTATTTGCCATATTGGGTCCGCCAATTTGAATTTTGAAATTATATTATTTGACATGGCTTCGGCGATCTCAAAAACATTAAGAAACCTTCTTTCTATCAAAATCCAATCATTTTAAAGCTGGGATAGGTATAGTTCCTTTTCGTGCCGCACGAGGCGGTGTCACATGTTGGCTGCCCGAAAACCATATGACAGTCTACCTGTCATGTGAGTGCAAAAATGGTAGTCCGTGACTGGAGAGACGACGATGGCAATATGAGAACAACGTTTCTGAGAATGCCGAAAACTTTACCGTACTAGATCTTTACTTAGATAGCTGCAATCAGAGTAGGGTAAATTTTGAAAAATTCCTGAATTTTTGCTTGATTTTTTTAGTTGATCAGACGTTCATTTCTTTTTCTATAGCAATGGAGAGCGTAGATTCCCATTTCCCTCACTTGTGAAATCTCGATCCTTGGTGTATAGAACTGTGTAGCGTCTCGCTCGAGCTCAAACGAGCAGGGCGCGTTTCTCGCTCAAAAATATGTTTGGCTCGAAACTCTATCAAGTTTCTTGAAAAAAAAAGTATGCACTGTACCTGTGGAAACACAAAACTTGAGAGACGAAAGAGGTACATTTAGAGTTGCTGAAACCTCAGCAGTTTAAAATAAATAGAAACAGCGATGTCCTTATATTAATGAAAATTTAAGGTGAAAACCAGCAGTAGCATTATCGTTTAATATAATATATAATGAGGTAAAATCGAAGGGGCTAAAATAATAGATAGCAACGATAATTTTCTTAACATTATTTTTCTTTGTTTAAAAATCGACCAATAGAAAACAATTCGATGATTTTAGAACTTTGTAGGAGAGCAGATTTAGACATCTAGGATGTGACTAAAATCGGGAAGACTAATTACCTTCTTGTTGCTTTTGTGTGGGGAAGAATCATCTTTCGCTCAGTCATAGCTGATTTCATCTTGCGCGAATAAAAGAAGATTATGCTGCATGATCTAAGACAAGGATGGACATGTAGAGAATTATCGGATTAATTCCACACGCAATGACAGGTATAATATTATATATATATGGAATATCCATACATCTACAGGAGATCCATATCGTTCATAGACGCTAGCTATACTAAAGATATATACATATATACATATATATATACATCAATTTTATGTATATAGGTCTATAGCAGCTATACGCACTCATTAGATATTCTATAGATAATTGCAAATATCTAAGTTTAGTGTATGCATATCTATAGTTGATCTATATCCATATATACTATTCATATACAAAAAGTAGATATACATATTTCATCTATTTAATATAAAAAATATACATACATAATGGATATTCCATAGAAAATCGTAGATATCTAGGTTTGATACATGAATATCTATGGTTGATCTATATCCATATATCTAATTCATATACAAAAAGTAGATATTCATACTACATTTACTTAACATCGAAAAGATATATACATACCTGATGTACTCTAGATAGACGCAATTATGGAGGTTTGATCTCCCGAGAGGTCGAGAGTGGCCAGAAGGGAGAGAGTGAGAGAAAAATACGTACATTCACTATCTATGAGATATGTACTAGGTCATTAGTACATTCACAATAAATTTGTAACGAGGACTGGAAAGAGTTGTACATACCGAATTATACGGTTGTTTACTGTACATAAATAATACGTAAATCGTATACGCATGTGAGACGTAATACGATATCTATTATACATTATATATTTATATATCTTACGTATAACAGCATGCAAATCATATTCGCATTATATACGCGTATTAGCTATTTATAGATATCTCATAGATCCCTATAAATAGGCATATACCGAACCTAGATATATGTGATTGTCTATTATGTACATACTTTTTAGATGTTTAACAGACGTAATATAAATATATATCTTTTATATATGAACAGTATGTGGGGTGTAATGGTATGCAGTTTTGTCGGTGCCTATGCACCAAGAAACTGCATCCGTCGAGGGTTCGAGCCTCACGACTCCTGAGACCGAAATTAATTAAATTTTAAAGATATGAAAAGAAAAGAGACTGGCGAGAGAGCGAGGAGAGCGTTTACGAACGATCAGCTGAGCGCGTCAATATTGTGGATTTCGGGAGGCCTGTCCGCGAGAACCGGCTCGAGCAAGTTTTTCTAATGATAAGCGCTCGGGCGCCGTCTCGTCTAAGTGAAATTTGTCGATTTAAATTTCCGGGAAAATGCTCGGATTTTCGGCACCTTTGATTTTCAGCCGATGCAGTCCTAATTGGATCAAAGGGATTTTCCCTGACTCATGCGTTGAACTCGAAAAGGAAAGGATAGGAAAGGAATTGATCCTCAGTAAGAACGACTTATTCCATTATCGGTGCGTTCTATTCGTTCATCATAGAATCGACATGGAATATGGCAACATGGGATGTAAAGGTTATGTGGAACGGGTGGTTTGGGGTAGAATTCAAATAGGAATTAACAACCGTCTACGCGACCTCCGCGTCCCCTTTCCCCACGTGTCAACTTCTTACTGACGCGTTTGAGTTAAAATCTAACCGTTGGTGGAATTGGAAGGTGATGTTGTTGATTAACAACACGTATGAGAAATTAACACCTAATTCGGGTGACTGATCAGCCCTACTTGAAAAACTGTACTAATAATTGGTTTCACGGACTAAATCAACCACGGATCTATGTTTCATCCGGAGTTAATTCCTCCGGGTTTTAGTACCACTTAAATTAGATTATCCAGCCGCGGATATTGGCTGGGTGAAGGTTTTGAGGATTAGGACTTCTACTATCAATCGCAACATGCGATTTGGAGGATACAAAGTTAGGATTATAATAGACGAGGATTTAAGAAAATAGGATGTGGGTGTGGTCGCTATACCAGACCCACTGGAACACGGACCTGAAAATAAACAAATCAAACGCATTCACCCTTATTAAGAGTTTTCTCCGTAATCGAATCGTGAGCGGCAATGCTCGGTCATCGAATTTGGGACAAAACTCTAAAGAGCGACTTCTCGTCAGAGCACTGTCCGGCTCGGATCGAGAGCGGCAATACTCGGTCACCGAGGAACGAACAGCTTCTTAATGTGAAGTGAAACACGTCGAGGAACTTGATCAACGTCGATAAAGACGATTTTTCTAAATGCCTACGTTGCCGACGTTCGTTTTTATACTGACAGCTGTGTCGAATTATATTGGATATTGTACCAAATGGCATATTCCACCTGTCGTTTTCGTACAATAATTTTGAAGAAATCGAAGTAAAACTCCAGAAATCCTCTGGATTCATCCCTTCTGGGGCCCTAATTGACTGCGGAGGGACTCCCTGCGCCATCTGTGATTTCCAGGTCAATTAAATTTTCACTCCGAGACCTCGTATTACCATCGTTTTAGCAAAGAAGCGCCTTTATCCCGTTCGAATACGAGTTTATCGATTACCAGAGTGTTCTAAATTGTCGTAAAATTGTCCTGACCCTTTCGATTCTCATATCAGAGCCTTCGATAATTGTATATTGATCAAAATATGAGAGCTCGACGCCATTTTGGTTCTGGTCCGGACTGAGTTAAAGAATTTTTTTTGAAAGATCCAAATTTTTAATGTGTCAGGACAATTCTTAGCTGATCAGGAGTGATGTCTCAAAGTTTTGGACAGTTTGGCCTAATACCCTTAAAAAAAAGTGTTGTATTCGAATCGACTGATTTGAAGGATGTTTCACTTCACCTTAACGAGGTGATTCTCAAGTACTCCGAGTTCTTCAATTCAAAATCTATTTCGACGCGATCGCGTGTATCCGAATTACTCCCACAATTTAGGGACTTATAAGTTCCCGGTGCGCACGATCTCGGAGTCCCGAATCAAGAGAATAAAAGTCTTTGATCGATATCCGATCGATATCCCAGCCTTAGTGACTTCTCTCGCGATGCTCCGCGCTCGCGAGCCGCATGTCCTAAGTATACCGAAATAATGGTCCCAACGTACAGTGGCTCATGTTAGCCGCCTGACCCGTTACAGGGGATATAGATCAACCATAGATATTCGTGTATCGAACCCCGATATCTGCAATCATCTAGAGAACATCTAATAAGAACGTATAAGTAATATAGATTTGTATATGTAAAATAGATCTATCTTCAGTATAGCTAGTGTATGTGAATGATACAGATTTCCTATAGATGTATGGATATTCCACATACTCTTCAGTGCGAGAAGATTCTGATAAGTTGCACGAGAATGATAGAGGTAAGTCTCTTTTTGCTGTAAACTTATCATTATCGTCATTAGCACATTTTTTATTCATTACCTGTTTATTTTTAGTTTCAGTATAATATTTTTCGTCCTCCGAAACCGTTATCTACTGTTGTTTCTCTTGACAGTTGCCACCAGTAGTTTCGGCAGGAATCGGTAGATGGCGCCTGGCGCTCGCGTGGCTTTCCCGCAGGTGGTACGTATAACAGTTCGTTTGTACATAAGATCCAATACCGTTATTGATGTTTAAGGCTTAGTACCGTTCTGCTGTACTTTTTCAGATGCCGATACTCTAGCTCTGCTTCGACGAAAAATTGTGCTCAACCCGGAAACGAGGGAAGGGGAAAAACGATAATCGAGACAACAACCACACCCACACCAAGCAATGAATAAAGATGACCTTCCCCTTCAGAATAAAAATATATAAAAATATACTAAAGGTGCCACAGGCACATAATAAATGTCCGTAATAACATACCCGTAAATTGTCCGATATGTTGCAACAACATTGGTTCAACATTGACCTGAGTTTTGATATACGTAAAACATATTATATTTTTTGCATATTAGATATCTTATTACGTCGCATATACGTATCTGAATATACGTATATTAGACGGTCATTTAGCCCTATTTTATACATCTTATAGATATCTTATGGATAGATAATTAATATACGTATATAATAGGTATATGTTCTGCGTGGGATGCATTGATTAATCCAAACATTGAAAATATAAATAATTCACATGGAAATCTACTAGCTTTCACTTTTACGACATAAGAAACATAGAGTATGGACGCAGGTGTTTTTTTGATTAATGTGTACTTGCTCTTAAAGAGAGAAATCCTCCTATAATCACACGCGATGAACGGACATCGCGGCTTCGTTGCCGCAGGAAGTACTTTAATGACAGCTTTTAAGAATTGATAGCGAAATAACACTTGCCTTGTCCCAGAAAACAAGGAATCTTTACGCTGGAAAGTGCGCAACTGGTGTTGCAAAACGGTAAACGCTGTACACGATAGAGTCTGGGGACAGTGTGATCATAACGATCACTATGTTAATTAGATCAATTATTACGTATGCTGACATTAAGTATATATAAATATTTCGCTAGTGCTACCGACACTCACCTCTTCTTCATAACTCATTGTTACGATAATTCGATTTACTTTGCGATATCAATACGTATTACGTAAGTAACTTTTCAAATAAAAAAAGTAGTACATAAAAAACATTGCTACATTTTTATCCGTTCCCTCCTAGTTAACACTTTAACAACGATTTCAATATTTCGGACTCATGGAGTTGTAGTTTGTTTAAAATTATTATCCGTATTATTTTATTTATTCTTATTATATTTTTTAATAAATGTTTTTTTAAAGAATTTGGATCCTTTCAATAATCATATCCAATTGATGTCATTTCGTTGTTATTAATAAAGTACAAATATTATACGTTTTTAAGATATACGGTTCGACGCATTCATATTAAGGAAATGTTCAAATTATATCAGGTGATTTTGAATGAGTTCCACATATAATCTAAGCTATTAAAAAATACAATGCATTGTGTCATACGTTAGAAAATGTTGATGATTTATATACCCAATTTCGACTTCAACATCAAGGTTATGAATAACTACTTAAACTCTGGAGCATGAAGATTCGTATTTGAATCAAATCGATGATTGATCGTTCTGCCCCTTTCATTACAAAACTATCGTCCTTGATACAGTTAATTCGAAAATCCGACACGTCGAAAAATATGAGCACACTTCAAATATGTCACAGTCCATTTGGTTTCACGTATGTTGCATGTAGAAGATTTTCTGCTTCCTCAAACTGAAGACAAATATTAAAAACTATATCGCAACAAATAAAAAAATTAGAAACTAAATTTCAAAACAATACTTTATTTGGCGTGCACCCGAGGTGTATTTCTAGCATATGATCATTTTGGTACCCGCCAAATAAAATATTGTTTTCAAATTTAGTTTCTAATTTTTTTATTTGTTTCGACATAGTTTTTAATATTCGTCTTCGGTTTGAGGAAGCAGAAAATCTTGTACATACAACATACGTGAAATCAAATGTACTGTGACATTTGGCAAAAAGATTTTAGCTGAGACTTTAATGGAATGAATGTTCCACTATATTTGTCAAAAATAGTTGATTTAAGCTTTTCATGGGAATGGAGCAGTTTTAGCTATTTTTGCAATTATTTGAATAAAGATAAATGTATTTGGCAAAATTTTTATACACCGAAAGTGTTTTGAGGGGATTTCACTCTTTCTTGTAAAAAAAATGTTAATGTCTATTATTAATAATAAAATCGGCAAATGTATCGGATACCTTCCTATAATATAAAAATATAATTACTACAAACATGTAAGTTGATAAAAAGTTAGTAAAAATATATATACTTCTTAAACGCAATATATATATATTTTTTTTATATTAACACTCTCAAAATTTTGAATGGCACCATCATTTATCCGCTAATGTAAATTTTGAAATTCTAGTAACAAATTTGGATTTAGCAACCACAAAAATCGTGAGAAATTCATTTTTATGCAAATCCAACCATTTTTACATTTTTATTCGCCATATTAGATCAGCCATCTTGAATTTCAAAATTCGATTACCAGATTTGTATTAAGTGGTTATAAAAACCACGCTAAACGGTATTTTATGATAATCCAATCATTTTGAAATTGTTATTTGCCATGTTGGGTCCGCCATTTTGAATTTTGAAATTATATTATTTTACTTGGCTTTGACGATCTCAGAAACAAAAAAATCCTGAATTTTTGCTTGAATTTTTTTAGCTGGTCAGACGTTCATTTCCTTTTCTATAGCAATCGAGAGCGTAGATTCCCATTTCCCCCACTTCTGAAATCTCGATCTTTGGCGTATAGAACTGTGTAGCGTTTCTCTTAGTACATGACGCTGTGAGTTTCTCGCTCAAAAATGTATTTGGCTCGAAACTGTACCGAGTTTTATGATAAGAAAATTACCATTGTAACTGAACGAAAAAGTTACATGAGATAGATAGTCATTAGCATGAAAGGACGATGCGTGAAGAAATTTGGATAAAAATGAATATAAACTGGCATTCACTGTCGTTGGAACAATTAATACCTACACTGATAAATCTCATGCGTTTATCAATTTAAAATGTCCAGTAAGAAATATAAAATACGTGTTAACGTTAAATATCCAATTATGTGAAAATGTATTAAAATTATGAAATGTCATTAGAGTGGATGGATGACTTATTCCGATAAAGAGCATGAAATTCTTCAGCACATGTCCCTGACATGTATCCCAAACCCTCACTAACCGATAGATACAGTTTAAATATTACATTTTCGTAATACATAATATCGACGTTCCTCTGAGGAACAAATTAAAGTAAGTGCATTTTAAATCTCGTTTACAAATTAATTTTCGTTAGTCAAGATAGAATTAAATGAGAACTTAGTTCTTCATACAGGACCATGACCGTTTATCTATGGATCCTATAATAACGGAACGACGTTAGAAGACATTCATTCAAAGTTAGAATTTTAACGCTATACCACAATCCAGCAGCATTCAATTCCTAACGTTTTTGCTATGTCAGTCGGAGTAAGCCACTTACTCCTCCAGGAAGCTCGCCTCTGAAATAGGAGAAAATGAACGGCGTACTGCAAGGTGAACGTACCGTTTATTTCAAGTGTTCATTATGTTTAACGCCGCCGAGATATCCCGAAGTGTTTGCCTCCGGACTTCTGTACCCTATAACAGTACCAACACCCGCAATCTTTAACACGACAGGAAAATAACTAACTCTACAAGGGCATGTATACGTGGTCGAATGTCTCATCGCAACAGGGTCCATTCGTTTCTAAACCCGTTCATCACGAGGAGCACTAAGGTAGAAACGAATAACCTCTAATATGAGTACCCTCATATCGAGTTCTGTATCAGATAACCTCACTCGGTCATCCCTCCATTTATCCGTTCCAAAACAATCGCGACCGCGAGGGAGTTCCGGATAGACCCATCATCTTTTGGGATACTCGTGAGTCCTACGTCACGACATTGGAGTCGTTCCCGCCCGGTCACCCGATCCACGTTCTCGTGATCATATCTGCTGCTCTCTCGCCGATCATGATGGCCGGAGCGTTGGTGTTCCCAGAAGTAACCTTAGGCATGATGCTGGTGTCGGCCACTCGGACACCTCTGAGGCCGCGCACCCTCAGCTGGTTGTCTACCACGGCCATGGGATCATCGGCTGGACCCATTTTGCAGGACCCGGCCTGATGATTCTCGGGGGAGGTATCATGTCTCACGGCGCATTCCCAATAGGCGTCGCAGCCAAATTTCAGGTGCTCGCAATTCTTCACGGGTGTCTCGTCCAGCTTGAAGCCGTATCTCTTCAGGGCGCGAGTGTTGGCCAGGGCAATGCTGAATTTAATCCCCTCGATCAACCGAGCCACGTCGTCCGGATGAGATAAGTATTTGGGGTAGATCAGAGGTTTCGAAAGCGGGTCGCTGTTTCGCAGACGTAGATACCCGCGGCTCTTTGGATGCAGAAGAGTCGGAATTACGTAGATGGTTCGATTGGCTCCCTTCTTCTCCCCGACCATTCCGGTCTCGGCGCAGTCCGCCAGGTAACCACCAAATATCAGCTGGATGTCTGGATGGTCCTCTCGGGGGTCGGAGTATTTTGAATGGATCATCGCTGTCACTTCGGATATCCCTGAAATCATGGTCCTGGGGATTAGATAAACAGCAATTGCGGTCGAGGTGCATTTGTGATTGCCTGAACGGTTGAAAAATCTTGCTTTATATGGCTATGTTGGGGAGTGGGGTTGTATCTTATAGACATTGTGGTGGGTGAACTAATGGATTAGTTTTGCACCTGTTATCATTGGAAATATTGCCCTTAACGTAAGTGTCCATACGCGTGAATTCTTTTAGAAATTCTGAGAACCGTAGTTTTTCCGTCTTTCCTTCGCTTGATCTCTGTGGAATTAAATTAGCCGAAGACTTTGTTTTTCTTCTTATCTTAACTCCTATATTTAAAGTGACACTTCTTGACGAATAAAAGAAATAAAAATGCACTTCAATCTCAAGTGCTAAGGATCATGAAAGCTGACGTTAATTTTCATGAAAAATAGCGGTGCTTGTTGTGAAATAATTACTGTTTTAATAATTATTTTTGAGATTAAATAGAAATTATTAAGGAAATCATTATATAAAAGAGTTATATGAGATTGTCGCATCGCGTTTGCGCTACAAGATATCGATAATTCCAGTTGTTAATTATATCTCTGGGTTTAAGCTTCAAGTCGAATTGATTTTTTACAATTTGTCATGTATGTTAATTGAATTGATTTCTGTACATTATAACCGAATAAAACTATTATCAAATAATTATTCTGCAAATGATATGATAGAATACTGTTTTTCATTAAAACGTTATACATTTATAAATAACAAAGAGAGGAATGAAGATATTAAAATGAAGTGATGCAGCCGATCAAGTACGGAATTTTGTGTAAATAATTCTACGATAAAATATATGCACCTGCTTACAATGTATTGGGTCGGTGCAATTGGTACAATTCCTTTGAGAAGAGTACTTTCACGTCGCCTTAACCTTTGACGTAAATACTGCCTCACTTGCGATTGATTCAAAAGTAAGTAGAAATTATTATCGAGTTCTTCGAAACGAATGCCGAGAGTAATTGGCCTCTGATGTAATTATTTCATTTTTTACAATTTTTTTACCTTAAGGGATGTTTCGCTCATCCATTGCACGCACTAAACTGTTGTTGAAGAGCAAGTGTGTTTCGCTTCAAGGCAGGCAAACGAGTTTGTTCGGCCATAAGTAAGAAAGGCAGCGAGGAAAATAAGGCAAAAAACGGAGAAGAAGGAAAAAGTACAGCGTGAATGCGTAACGTCACCTTTGCGCAACTTTCGAGAAAACTAAGCGACATTAGGCGTGTTGGTGTGAGTTTATAAAAGCAACTGCTTGATAAGTAAAAAATCATTTTCACGGACATTTTACCGAATTCTCTGTGAACAGGCGTAGCTGTTTTTGTCATTAATTAAAGCAGTCGTGCATGAAATGTACTATTGATTACTTTGGTTGTCTGACTGAAATCGAATTAAATACGATACCCTACGAAAGCGTATTCAGAGAAAGTGAAGATGTATTCACCTCGAAGACGAAAGTGAAAGTGAATAACCATTTTCAGTTTTAAAAGTATACGTTATTAAGAAGAGACGTCCTGAATATCAAGATTGTGTAACGTTAGCTCAAAGTGATAAATATTTAAAGGTTGCTAAATTATGGTTTAAAGGGGCAGGTGTATAATAGGAGAAATATTGGGTTGGGTTCGTGCGTTTCTCTTAAACTAAATTTTAATCGCCAAAAAACTTTTTTACTTATATATTATATACCATTTTAAAGCCCGTCTTTTTCTGTACTTATAACATATTTAAGTTGTGTTTTAAGTTTATTTATGTGCTTTTTTTAGGCTGATCATGTATGGAGCCGCAAGTTGAAAAAAATGTTCATTTCCGACACGTAATTTTATTCGAATTTAATCGAGGTGTTAAGGTGAAGTGAAACACGTTGAGAAACTTGATCAACGTCGATAAAGAAGATTTTTCTAAATACCTACGTTGCCGACGTTCGTTTTTATATTGACAGCTGTGTCGAATTATATTGGATATTGTACCAAATGGCATACTCCACCTGTCGTTTACGTACACTAAATATCAAGAAATCGAAGTAAAACTCCAGAAATCCTCTGGATTTATGCTTTCCGGGGCCCTAATTGACTGCAGAGGGACCCCCTGCGCCATCTGTGATTTCCAGGTCAATTAAATTTTCACTCCGAGACCTAGTATTCCCATCGTTTTAGCATAGAAGCGCATACAATACTTTTTTTGCCTTTATCCCGTTGAAATGCGAGTTTATCGATTACCAGAGTGTCCTAAATTATCGTAAAATTGTCCTGACCCTTTCGTTTCTCATATCAGAGTCTTTGATAATTGTATATTGATCGAAATATGAGAGCTGCACGCCATTTTGGTTCTGGTCTGGGCTGAGTTAAAACATTTTTTCCAAAAATCCAAATTTTGAATGTGTCAGGACAATTCTTAGATGATCAGGAGTTATGTGTCAAAGTTTTGGACAGTTTGGTCTAATACCCTTAAAAAAAAGTGTTGTATTCGAATCGGCTGATTGGAAGAGGGTTTCACTTCACCTTAAAGTAGTGGAAGCTGCCCGAACCATCCGGAATGTTTATGGCGAAGATGCAATAAGTGATAGAGTTTTTGAACCTTTCGCATCGATTGCAGGTGACGAACGATAGTTGAATGGTCACATTCCATCACTTCAGGTAATTAACGTGTTTGACGAGGATTTTCATGAAGCAAACCGTTTAAACATTCTTCATCGAAGTCGGATGTTCGCCCTAGGCGATCCGCGTCAGTCAATTCAAAATTTCCATCTTTAAACCGAGAAAACAATTTTTGTGCAGTTCTATCACTTATTGCATCTTCGCCATAAAAATTTCGGATGGTTTGGGCAGCTTCCACTGCTTTAACACCTCGATTAAATTTAGATAAAAGTAAGTGTCGGAAATGAGCATTTTTTTCAACTTGCGGCTCCATATTTGATCAACCTAAAAAAGCACATAAATAAACTTAAAACCCAACTTAAATATGTCATAAGTACAGAAAGGAACGGGCTTTAAAATGGTATATAATACATAAATAATCAAATTTTTTGTATGATTATAATTTAGTTTAAAAAAAAACGCACGAACTTATGCACCAACCCTATATCAGCCTGAAGTATGCGTAGTGCACGGTTTACGTTAACGGTTACTGCATACATCTTATTATATATGCATAATATTTGTCTCCTTTATTTCCCTACTAGGCGCCCGAAAAATATAATTTTATTGCAGGCGCATGTGGAATTCAGCATTTAGTTTTCTATGACACATTACAGGCGCGTTGATAAAGCAGCAGCTACATGATGCCGCACAAAATATCAAGTATTAATATTCGATTCTTTTGCAATGTTCAGCATATTTTGTTAACACTGTTAAATCAGATCATAACATTAAAAAGCACAGACTCTTTAAGAAATTGTAAGAGTTTAAGAAGTTATAAATTAAAAAGAAGAATTGAGGCTACGGATACACTTCGACTGTCCGTCCACGATTGATTCCAGTTGGAAAGACTGTAAACAGGCAATCAGGTCGGAAAAATGGTTACATCACCATTGATCGGCAGACACGAACGAGATTATTGTGCAATACACTTTCACTGACCAAGAGGTGATGTTTTAACTAAAACGATTTCAATAAATGTACCATCGCAAGATGAACAAGATGATTTCGAATCGAATTCCAAGTTTAATTATTCACATTCTCGCGGCTGGACTTCAAACATGAAAACTACACATTGCAACCCTAAACAGAATTTTAATTCATAAAAACGAAACCTAGTATATTAACGCAACCCTACTGGAAGTTCTTAAGTAATTTTGAAGACGAAAGAGATTCTTCAAGACTATTTGCTCTAATTAAAGTGTTTAAGTATATAAAATTTCTTGAATATTAAGGAAGTTTCTCATAATTGTTTCATTTTACTCGGACACTTGTACCGAGTTTTTTCATTGTCCGAAATGGAAAATACCAAGAATAAATACGTGTAATGTTGAAGTTGTCAATTTAAGAGAAAACATGATACTTTTACGAAAACATTGTGATGTTGTCTCTAGACTTCGCGTTTAACGTCTTCGTTTTTAATTGTTGATTTGTATTTAGTTACCACTCGATAAGATTAATCGATACACTACTTTGAGAAAAAAATATGGTCAAGGCCATATTAGCTCACCTGTACCCGACATAAGTCCATCTCTGAACAGTAAGTATTCCATAGCAGTGGCCCAATTTAACGGAGTGGTGTCTGTATCGTTGATGGTGAACGTCAAGGTGTAAGCAACGTGATTGTGCAGATTCCTTCCAACACCTGGCAAATCGTGAACGACAGGTATACCCAATGCTTCAAGGTCTGCTTTGGGTCCTACTCCACTATTCAGCAATATCTGCGGCGAGTTCACGGCACCTTGGGACAAACACAAATTTTTATTCATATGCACAATTTTATTTTAACGAACGGCTCAACTTTCTCCATCAGTTATGAACTCGTTGAACAGTTCCATTCTGAGGTATCGAACAAAAAAAAAGGATTTAATTGGCAACAAATATGTGCTTGGATACATAATTCCTGAAATACGTATTATTAGTATCGAGAGTTACGAATATTGTTCGACTGAAATTCTTGCAGTTATTTCAAAATTTGTAGTTTTGAAGTTAGAATACCGTGCAATTTAACTGGATTCTTCGATTAATTATTCGTTAACAGCGATTACATTGTTTCTTTCCTTTTAGCATGTAGTAGCCAAGTTGAAGTTCAAGATTTAAATTTCAGTTGAAAGATCTTGATTTGAATCATTGATGCTAAAATAGCTTACAGGAAATTACGTAAAATTAAAATGAATAGTTGGCATTTTGAAAGTATTGGAACTTCTAACGAAGTAATCAACGTTAAAGCGTTATTTAAGCGAAACGACGTTCAGAGCGAGATGTGCATTTATGAAAGTTGTGTATACCTCCGCTAATGACAACTTCTTTTCCCACTCCTACTCGGTGGATTCTGCCGTTGTGAACAAATTCGACCTGCGTAGCTCTCTTGTTCTTGTCAAAGAGAATTCGGGTGACCGTGGAATTGAGCATTATGTGTAGATTCCTTCTGTTTTTAGCAGGACGAAGAAATGCTCGAGCAGTTGACAATCTGGATCCATTTCTGGAGGTCGTTTGAGCTATGGCGAAACCTGTATGCGTTCTGCCGTTCAGATCCACTGTGTCGTATCCTGAAAATCATTATAGTTTTACAGTCCATTTCATTTTATTTGCTCATTAAAGTTTCCAGTCAAGATCAACATATCGATGTAACAAAGTACCAAAAACACAAAGCGTGAAATGAATTATGGTGGAATTAACTTCAGTTATATGAAAGACAGATGCAAGTACGCATAAATCAATCATATCAAGTAAATTCAAATAATATCACTTTATTTTTACCAATTAATTTTTAATAATTACTGTCTCTCTTAGTTTCTAACTGTCATATAAAACAGTTTAAAAATATGGTATTACTGAATTCGTTTATTACACTGCTTTTTTTCTGACGGTACCTATAATGACATAATGTGGTATAATGAAATGTAAGTTAAGGGCGTATTTTTATTTTTAATAATACTGCTGAACATCTATGAAAAGTGTTATTTGATGCCTGCGTTACGCACTTTTTCGAAGAAAGTTTACTTTTGGAAAGATATGCGAAGTTGAAATATTATCAGATATGAATACACGTAATTAGAGATAAAACATACCGAGTTCTTTACCACCATCTAAAAGCGCATGACTGAGAGGTGGATGATAAGGGAATTGAGTGACTGTGAGGGGTCCTCCCGTTCCGTGATATCCGTAATCCATCGTGTACACTTGTTGATTGTCCTCGCTTTTGATGAAATCCGGTAGGACTTGGTCGTAAGACCAGCCAGGATTTCCTAGCCTGACCCAATCGTCGTAATCTCTGCGTGATCCTCTCATGTACGTCATCCCGTTCATCACACTGGTTCCTCCAAGAACCTGTGACAATTACCTGGTTGTAAACACATGTTTACACGCAGAAAACGAAATCGCAGTCATAACAAGAAATGTTATTTGTTTCAACAAATGTGGACGATGTTGTATTAGCAACAAAAAACGATTACTTCACTGGGGCAACACAAATTCTATTCATGGTCTCAATATTCTTCTCATACAAAAAATTTTTTTCAGATGTTCCTACAATTTAATTTACTAATTCAATTAGAATTTTTTTCTAAAGAAACTTCACCAATGATTACATCTACATTCGATACAATTGCAAATATTTTTGCCGTTAGTACGATCCCCTCAAAACACCTTCGGTGTACAAAAATTTAGCCAAATACATTTATCCTTATTCAAATACTTGCAAAAATAGCTCAAAGTGCTCCCTTCCCATGAAAAGCTCAAATCAACTATTTTTGCCAAATATAGTAGAACATTCATTCCATTAAAGTCTCAGCTAAAATCTCTTTGCCAAATGTCACAGTACATTTGGTTTCACGTATGTTGTCTGTACAAGATTTTCTGCTTCCTCAATCCGAAGACAGATATTAAAAACTATATCGATGCAAATAAAAAAATTAAAAACTAAATTTGAAAACAATATTTTATTTGACGAGCACTCAAGGTATACTCCTAGCATATGATCATTTTGGTGCTCGCCAAATAAAATATTGTTTTCAAATTTAGTTTCCCATTTTTTTATTTGTATCGATATAGTTTTTAATATTTGTCTTCGGTTTGAGGAAACAGAAAATCTTGTACATACAACATACGTGAAATCAAATGTACTGTGACATTTTGCAAAAAGATTTTAGCTGAGACTTTAATGGAATGAATGTTCCACTATATTTGTCAAAAATAGTTGATTTAAGCTTTTCATGGGAAGGGAGCAGATTTAACTATTTTTGCAATTATTTGAATAAAGATAAATGCATGTGGCAAAATTTTTGTACACCGAAGGTGTTTTGAGGGGATTTCACTCTTTCTTGTAAAAAAAATGTTAATGTCTATTATTAATAATAAAATCGGCAAATGTATCCGATACCTTCCTATAATATCAAAATATAATTACTACAAACATATAAGTTGATAAAAAGTTAGTAAAAATATGTATACTTCTTAAACGCAATATATATATATTTTTTTTATATTAACACCCTCAACATTTTGAATGGCACCATAATTTATCCGCTAATGTAAATTTTGAAATTCTAGTAACAAATTTGGATTTATCGACCACAAAAACCGTGAGAAACTCATTTTTATAAAAATCCAACCATTTTTCCATTTTTATTCGGCATATTAGATCAGCCATCTTGAATTTCAAAATTCTATTACCAGATTTGTATTAAGCGGTTATAAAAACCACGCTAAATGGTATTTTATGATAATCTAATCATTTTGAAATGATGTTATTTGCCATGTTGGGTCCGCCATTTTGAATTTTGAAATTATATTATTTGACTTGGCTTCGGCGATCTCAGAAACATTATGCAATTTTTTTTCTATCAAAATTCAATCATTTTAAAGCCGGGATGTGTATAGTTCCTTTCGTTCCGTGCGAGGTGGTGTCGCATGTTGGCTGCCCAAAAACCATATGGCAGTCCACCTATCATATGAGTGCGAAAATGGTAGTCCGTGAGTGAAGAGACGAGGACGACGATATGAGAACAACGTTTCTGAGAGTGCCGAAAACTACTGTGCCATATCTTTACGTAGATAGCAGCAATCAGAGTCGGGTAAATTTAAAAAAATTCCTGAATTTTTGCTTGATTTTTTTTAGCTGATCAGACATTCATTTCTTTTTCTATAACAATCGAGAGCGTAGATTCTCATTTCCCCCACTCCTGAAATCTCGATCCTTGGCGTATAGAAACTCTGTAGCGCCTCGCTCGAGCTCAAACGCGCAGGGCGCGTTTCTCTCAGCACACGATGCTGTGAGTTTCTCGCTTAAAAATGTATTTGGCTCGAAACTCTACCGAGCTTCCTGATTATTCCTGCAGCAAGAGCAAAACCTTCTCAGCAATGCTGTTTTTTGCTAAAGGTGCAAATGTCTTCTTTTTCCGTGTACAGGTGTATTATTTAATTATGGGTGATTACGAAGAATTACAAATATTGAAGGCAGATTTCATGGTCAAGCTTCAATTATAATCGGCATACGATATTTTCTAAATTTCCATATTCGGATATCCCGAGACAGAAAATCATCAACATTCTAAGAATAGTGTACACCGAATATTTCATGCTACGTGAGAACTGTTCCGTTAAACGTGGTGATTGTAAAGTAATCATCTACTTATTTCAATATCGTAAAATCTCCTTTCACAGCGATATCTTGTTCAACGCTCTAATATGCTTGATAACATCGATATTTGTGAAACTATTCATAATGCATTTTTGTTTATTGAGGGAAATGATTTGATTTTAAGGTGAAAATAACAGAATGTTGCAGGTTTTTGATTTATGCCTTTCGTTATCCTTACCTATGCACATTTCCTAAATCCCTGATTAGGTAATTTTGATTAAAATGAAGGTCATGGCCGAACGACCCGTTTTTAATTTTAAAATCAATATGAATTGTGTCGAGAAGTAATTTAAGCAAAGTCCAACGATTATAACGTTGCAATTCGATTTGAGAGTGAGTACTATAATTGCAATTATTGAGACAATTATGGGCGCGATTATTCTTGCCTTTCCGCGTGGCCAGTAACATTTCTTGTCGTCCTTATTCAAGCACGCCCCATCTTCACTTTCTGTTGTGTACTGCCAGTCGATGTCGCTGCCAATGAAGTTGAAGAAGAAAGATGGTATTTGCGTGCCGATCGGTTCATCGAGTCCGGCTTCCAGGAGTAAAACTGAAAATCTGTCGTTTTCGGAGAGTCTTGCAGCAACCACGGCACCAGCACTACCACCGCCGATTACTACGAAGTCGTACCTGAGATAATAAAAGTTACCATAATTAAGTTCTACCCTAAGGACGTATTCAGAAAAGGATATCTGTATATTCTTTTGTATCGACTGTCCGAGTAAATCCAATTTTTTCCCCTACCCTGCTCTCTATCCTTTCTACTCTGTATACAATTTTTCCGTTATCTATCATCTTCAAAAATTGAGAAATGGATTTTAGAATAAGAGATGTCGGTGCATCCTGGCGATATTCGCTCTAAAAATCATGGGATTTAACCCTTGAAATTATGTGGAAATCAGCTGGAAATTGCAAGCAGAAATCACTGAAAATCGTTGGAAATCATCGAATACTGTCACAATTTTAAGGCCGAACGTCATTTATTACGGAATCGTATTTTTGTCTATCGTATGAAATCAAAGGCAATTGGTTCTCAAAGAATGAAATCGTTTTCACTGATTTCCAAGAATATTTCCAATAGTCTCTCGGGTATATCGGTCTGTTCAGAGGTTTCTAAAGAATCCAAAAAAGTCACGTTAGCCATATTGAACTGTAGAGTCAGAGTTGAAGAAATCGCGCGAAATTCCTGGCAGATATTTTACGAAGCGAGTGACATTTGCCAACGGTGAAATAAAATATTCACGAAATGTGTCAGCCAGTTAGCTTATGACGGCTCGTGCATCAAGAAACGAGATATCACTTTCTGAAAATTGGCCAGTTGGACCCAGTTACGGGCTTACGATTCCGAAGCGATAATCTGACAATAAACAATACCACCACAAACACGGAGTTATGACATACTTTATACGGACACTTATCAATACGGTATCCATGTGTCGAGGAGAACATGTTAAAAGCGGCGGAATATCCGCCAAGAACTTCACGCGATTTTCTCGTCTCTGATGTCATGATTTAATATGATCGACCTGCCTTTATCGAGCCCTTAAAGCGATACGAAAGGGTCAATCTATATCGATCGAAACGTACAAATATTTATATAATTTTTCTCCAAACTGGGTGTACAGAATAATTTGGAACTTCAACACGTGATTACGAAGACCTAAGGAAGAACGTGGTTCTCATGGAATTTCATTTTTCAAAAAAAGATGTATTCTTGGTTTTACTCTGAGATATTCGAAAAAACATTTTTCTTAAAAATGAAATTTCACGAGTAGCACGTTCTTCCGTAGGGGCTCTATAACCATGTGTTGAAGTTTCAAATGATTTGGTACATCCAGTTTGGAGAAACGTTTTATAAATATTTTGACGTTTTGATGTATAGAATGTCCCTTTCATATCACTTTAAGGGGATGTAAAAGTGGCGTCAAAGAGGACTCGTTCATGAAACTTTTCTCCAAACTGTGTATACCGAAGCGATTTAAACTTTACAATATAAATATGGAGGGTAAAAGGAAGGTTCTGAAACTCGTGAAATTTCAATTTTTTTATGTGTTCAAAGATATTTTTAAAATTTGCTATAAAAATGAAATTTCATGAGTTTCAGGACCTTTCTTATATCCTCCATGTTCACGTTGTAAAGTTTGAAACAATTCGGTACACTCAGTTCGTAGAAAAGTTTCATGAATGATTGAGCGTTCGAGTGCCACTTTCATATCCCCTTGATAGCAGAAGACCATTAGACGGGATGCGAAATAAGTCGATAAAGCGAAGTGAAGTGTCGTTAGTCGTTTCAGCGAAGAAGGCGATGAAGCATCGCGCAAGGAATTAGGTTAGGGGAACGGGGGATTCCTAGGGAAAGAGATGAATCGAGTTCGCGGCGAAAGGTGCTATGGTGCTCTCGTGACGTAGCTTCGCGCTACTTCGAGCCAAGTTGCACGGAGGAATGGATCGAGATACGCTTCAATTGCGGGTCAATAACACACCTATGCAAATAGGTTAACTAACACGGTACCGATGCCCCGAGGCTGTCGTTACGCGATGCATCCGTCTTGGGAATTGCCGCCACGCAAGGAAACTACTCGGGAGATATTTCTGTACGCGTCGGACACTAAACTTTTTAACAGTATCCAGGTAGTTTCCAGACGTCGTTCAGCGGATTTGAAATTGGTCAATTTATTTACCCCTATCCAATAAACTCCCGTTTAACGAGATACGAGGAAATACCGAGAATGCGATAATTGCCATGTATAGAATGCGTGTCACTCGAGACGTCAAAACATACGCTGAGTGTTGTACTTTTAGTCATGGCTTCCAAGCTCCACATTCGACTTAATGGTTTCGGAAAGTAATTACCTGCAGTTGAATTATGTTCCTTTAATGCATTTTGTAATTACTATAACAATAAGAAATGAAATGAAACGTGTGTTAAGGTGGATCAGAAGACGTAAATTAGTTGCCAAATACTAATTCGGTTTTTCAAAAATTTAATTTCTCCACAGGAGGAAATAATTATTTTTGATCATTACACTATAAGAAGAAATGAACCGGTAAAATAATGTTTGCGTTACGTAACATTTAATATAATGGGATTACGTTACACGACATTAACAATTTCACCTAATTAATGAACAGTTTCCGTTATTGGATTGAAGGATATTATGAATTCTTTTTGTACACCTATTTTTGTCGCCTTATTCACTTCGCATTTTAAACTCAATTTAAAAAAAGGGAAATTAGTGTCTCGATTCACCAACCATGTCCCCCAAGTGGAGGATACCAAACATTTCTCAATGTCTTTCGAAGCGCGACATCCGACGCATTTCGGTGAAATTGAAAAGTATCCTTGGTTAAAAAAAAAAATTGATACGGGCTGCTGGAGTAGACCTTACCTCGAATTAACGTGATCCCTTGGATAAGGTCTGTTACAAGGATCTTCCAGATCGCACTGGCTCCGAAGGAAGACTTCGAGGAGACCCATGAAGAGCATAAATGACGATCCACCGCAGGTCGAGGCCAAGGTTGGCCCGGTGGACGCCGTCATTGGACAGTTGCAACTCATCTGGAGAAAAGAGACGGACTAGTTAATTCTTTTCAATTAAAGAGCGTTTTTTGACCAGTCGAGAGAAATTTTGCGCTCCAATATTCTATAAACGGAAACATTCGCATTCGTCCCCGTCGAGATCGTTTGCCGTTTCCTCGGGAAATCCCAGTCTCTGGAAGTGTGTCATTCTTAAATTGGAAGCTCTTCCAAATAAGGCGCATCTTTCCATATGTAGCGAATAATGTGAATGGACTGTGAAATCCACAGTTTCAACGGGACCTCGTAATTGGCGGTGGAATTACCTTAGGAGCGTAGCAAAGTCTCGCTAACGGATTACGTGCGTGAAGTATCTAGGCTTCAATTGCGGCCCAACACTATTTTAATGTTCATGATTGCAGGAACCACCTCTAATTTCGGTCGAATTCGTAATTTGCCTACCTCGCTATATTTACGATTATAACATGCGTTGCGTCATACGATTATGCCGGATATCTATGAAACCACTATTGCCATTTCCGACGATCGAAATTGTGAAATTCGGTTCCTGTATCGTTATAATGACGCAGAAATTGTATTATCGAGATGAAGCAGCTGTTCACATACACCAAGTAATTTTGGGCACGTTTCGAAATGCTTCGCAAATATTATCAGTTTTAACACACCAGCGATCATCGACAGCCATTAATTAGTACCTATTAACAATTCGTAAAAAATTTCTGAATAAAATAAGATATATATTTTTTGGTCTCTCGCCGACATAATTATTATATATGAATACGATGCATAATAATTTGTAAATGATTAATACTCTTAAATTATCATTGATAATTCATTGTAATGTATGAATTTTTTAAAAATCTTTTTCCCTTTAATTAAAATCAACGGGCGTTAAGATCACCGTTTGCATTTTGCAGTTTCTTGCACAAGGAAACACATCATCAAACGATTTAACATAACTTTAACGAGCAAGGGTGCAGACGTGCAGTATGTTCTTATCTGGCATATCGGTAGCATGGTCACTTATTTGTTAGTGCTGTAACATTCTGACGACTAAGTGCTACTGTAGGTAACTCACGTAAGAATATTATACCGCTTATCACTGTACGGCGCCAATACGTTATGGCGAGCAGGGACTTTTAATATTAATGTTCGTCGTTTTCTCCATTCCAGGAAGTTGGGTTTTTTTGTTACTTGGACAATTTCTTTCGTTTAAACCACAACTCAGTTAACCGCGATAGTACGAATACTCTCGGGTATTTCTCGTAATCGCGCGCTACGTGCTGCACAAATTTATTGTGTTAAATGCGTACATATATTGTAGACATTTCATGCAGCAAATGGTCTGTAAATTGTTTATATATCAATTTTCCTCATCATATGGTGATGAGTGATGGTATCATGAATTTCCATTTTGGATTGTATCAATATAAAATATTGAGCCAATATTATATCAAGCTATTCCCAGTATACGTTATTACGGAGGAACTTAGGTATGCCGGGACGACTAGAATGGAGGAGAATCGTAAGAAGCGGCATTTAGCGTGTTCCGTGTGTTGGAATACATCGCGGAACACACAGAGATACCGTTACGTTCACTGATCGAGAACCGCGCGAACTCGACGATTACGAAAGTCACGCACTTTTATGCCGCAACCGTCCGTATTTGTTCCTCGATCTAATCTCTCATGAATTTTTCAAGATGATTTGAACAATAGACGAATCGTGCGGTTACTTCATTCGAGGTGTAACATGAGTATACAAATTTTACGAATCTTGCGGTTCACTTCGGTCGACATGTAATGCGAAAACCATTGATGCATCAATTACTTCTATTTCAACATTCACAGAAAAATTAAACATGATGTGTTTTCATAAAAAAAATAGCACAATAGATTATTAAAAAAAATAAAATTTTTGATGACAGTGAAAAATAATTTTTTAATGTCCTTACGTGCAAATACAAAGTCTACATCTAGGGGAATCACAGTACACCGTTTGTAAAAAGAAAATTGCAAAACATATAAATCAAAGTCCTGCGTACCTGGTAACTACGTATGTATAAGTATTTCTTAAATAAAATATATAATATTAAATATAATATTAGTCATTGATTTGCATGATTCTTATTTTTAGGTGTTTGAAGTAGTTTGTCTAACAGAGTGTTCCTGTTTAATACCTTTTACTGTCACTTTAGTAATTCTACATCTTTGTCTAACTTTGAATAACAGATAAAATGGAAGAGAATCGTTTCAAAGCGATTCGGCATCCTGCGACTAACTGTATAATTATTTCTTACGATTGCAATGTATCGTCCTTATGCTACTTTTCGTCCTATCGAGAAAAGTTGACAGTTGTAGCGAAATGCTTAAACAGTACATATAACTATAACTGACGCAGATGGCGTAGACCTGACAGCTGTACAGTTGGAATATGAAGGTTAAACTCGGTGGATTGCAATGACTCCATCTTGCATTCATACTATTGCTACACGTATGACATGTAGGTGACATACATCCATCAACAATTATGGTGTATTATACCACTGCTGCTGAAATAGCATAAGGCCTCTTGTACCACGCCGTGTGACCGAGACAGACACATTAATCGGACTACTTCTCTGTCACGATACTCGAAGGTAAGACCTGAGCCATATTGTACCTTAAAATGTATTTGATACCGTGTACTCAATTTACAATATATCTGTTACTTCAGACAACTGCTATATCGGAGTAATTTTTTTCATTCATGATTTGGTATGGATCGAATTACGAGTGGTAATTGTACATTTCCACATGCACGATGTTACTTATTGTTAACCTGAATAAACACTTGTGTCGGTACGCTAAGAATGAAGAACTATGTACAATGCATTTCATTGAACTTTGAACTACGTGGGGAGATAATTCAAGCTTCACATTATTCGGCAGATTTTGATTAAGTCCTCAATCATGGAACACGGGAAGTCATGGACTTTTGGGAACGAGTCATTCGTGGAGGTTCTGTTCGTAGACATTTAATGGTATTTAGTTTGCAGTGGCTTCACTTTCCCTTCTTAACCATCGAAATGCATCGCACAAGGATGACAAGGAACGAAACGAGACAGCATGACGCGTCTCTACGTGGAATCTTGTATTATAGCTTGATGCCCTTTACAGTTCTGCAATCCAGTTGCGGAAATTGCTTAAGAAAGACTCAACGATCGTTAAGTCCTCGACCGAAATTATCTGTATCGAGAATCAGGATGTCTAATTTTCTCCCCCCCGGAGATTGACCTCTAAATTATTCTAGCATCTCGGTGATTCGATATAAAATTATCTAATCAGAAATGTTTCCTGATCATACAAACTATATTTGTATAATCCATCATCAGGTTTTCTTTAAAATATCGCGAGCAACTATTAAGGCTCTCATTAAAATCATCCTCAGGTAATAAATATTATATACGGGGTAAGTCTTATAAAAGGTCCAGAATGGGTTGGACATACAATTAGTTACTACAAAGTCTCGCCTATTCGACCAATTGGATGAGCAATCGTAATGAGCAAGAACGGGAATCAATGTTCGATCACAACTTTCGACAGTCTCTCGGGAAACGTGGTTGTGTCAGTAGTACTACCGACAATTATTCGCAGTTCATCAAAGAATGGATGTGGTACGTAGAACTAAATCCCCCCTTTTGAACTTTTATAAGATACTCTGTATATAAGTAGTAGTTGCACCGTACTCGACGTCTCTCTGAAGTATATAAATAATTGTAACATTTGTATTGTGTGACATATACAGTACTACTTAAGGTGACAGATACCCATTCACCCTGGTTCACCTTTGGGTCAATTCTAAAGAGTACGAGCGTAAAATCAACCATCTTTTCTTCATACACGATCCAAGGATGTTAAGCTCTTGCAATTTACGCAAAGTCCAATTGAGAAACTCCAATATAAACATTTTAATATTATAGTTTAAAGGTTGCATAACATTTGACTTTAAATTTCTTTATTTATGAAACAGTCAACTTTTTTTTTAAATTTAGTAAAGAATACTTCCCTTGGATTTTTGACGAATATAGGATCTTGTAAAGGTTTGTCACGATTTTTAGAATTCCCTGAAAAATATGAAGTAATATTTTTTTAGACCTTCGTACAACGAGATTGACTTATCGGAATGTGAAGATATATATTATGGACACAATAATGAATGTGAAAATACTAAAATTGAACAGGAATTGAGAGTTATTGGTATTGAGGCTGATCGAGGCATCGCGTCGGGTCATTCAATAGAAGAAAAGAATTTCCGATGCGCAACTGCTTATATACGTATTAGATTGTTTGATGTGCATGCTTGCGTACGGTAATTCTACGGATGAAATCTGTAGATTTAACAGATTTAACCTGTGAAATCTTCAGATTCTATCCATAACGCTTACCAATATGTTTAACCTTTCCGAAAACAATAACCTGAACAGAGTGAATCTGTAATGTCAACGGACATTTTATGTTTCATCTACAATTTTGTAATGCTTCAAACATACCAGTTTTATCCCTGTCAATATTAACAGCCATTTTTCAGCTGCATTTACAGATGGCTCTTATAGAAATGTTTCTGATAATTGTACAAGTGAGAATATAAAGTTAGCTGAATTAATTGTTTAATGGGGCAGCTTTTAATTGCACCTAAAACAGAAATTTCCAACAGATAGGCCTCTGTAACTTTTAGGCTTTTATTTTTCTTCGTGCACCTAAAAAAATATCTAAAGGATATATATAAATATCTATGTCTATTGTAGATGAAAATTATATATCCACTATTGATCTAAAAATATCTACTTATTTCTTGATGCGTACCAAATATATAATTGCTCTAGTAGACATCCACCAAAAGTTAATCAACGTCGTTGAAAATACGTTTAGAAAAATAAAAAAACACCTCATGTAACCGTACATTTTTCACACATACTTTAAGTTCATATCAAAATTCCAACTTGATAAAACTGTTAATTTCGTCCATACTCTGATTTTTTA